GAATGTCAGGTTGTTGTTTTGAAGAAACCTTTTTCTTTCACATTTTTTTCACATCATTGAAATGCATCAATGCTCCTTTCAACCTGCTTCATAATCAATCAAAATCTCTTCACAACAGCTTTAAGGTCCATTCTTCCTTTTCTTAAATTATATGCTATTTTGCGCTCAGACCGCCTCTTCCACTCTTCTACTGCTGCCATGATGGAAAACAACACAACCACTTCACTTTTGAGTGGTACATTTGACGCAAGAAACTGCCTGATAGACCAGTTGACAAGCCAACAGTAATGTTCACTTTGCATCAACTCAGAATTATTATCAATGTGCCTTTAGTTTGTGCAACCCCCAGGTTAGCTCAGCAATCAGGCTGATGCAGCACGCAACTGCCTCTCATAAGCTGGCAGAGCTTATTTTGGAGCGCACAAATTGCCATGCTATGAGCCATGGCTTGTCTTTGTTTTTCATGCATTTTATTGAATTTAAACTGTTCAATATTAAGCATAAACCGTTTAATAAACAGAAAATACTGTTTTCACAGGATGAGCATTATGAAAATAGGCTGTCTCTGACTTGTAAGTCGTGGTGTGCGCCTGTGTAGCAGTGTAGCATTCATCTGGAAAAGAAATCCTAAAACAAGACAGATGTAAGAGTTGTTCATTATAGACATGCAAATAGTGCATTCTTTTAAACATGCACGTAAAAATGCAAATATTGATACTAAATTCAGTGATCAATAGTATCAAAAATAAGACCTTTTATCATTTCTAATTAAAAAAATGTGATCTTGCTCTGATTTAATGTTGTAGAGTCGCGTATAAAACCCTATTCAGATGATTAAGATCTTGCCTCATGGTGTGGAACTGTGGTTTGGGATGCAGAAAGTCTAAACCCTGGAGCCTGGCCATGTAGAGCCTTGTCAGTGAGCTCCAAAATGTTTATATGCGTTCTAAATTTAACAAGAAGCCAGCGCGACGAGATTAAAATAGGTGTAATGTGTGACCATCTGTCGGTGCATGTTAAAAGCTCTGCAGCGTTCTGGACAGATTCAGACTGTTGTAATACAGTTTAGTGGTTTTGAAAGACTAAGCATTAGTTAAGTCATTATTACATTAGGTTTTGGTTTGTAACTGCCATTTTTCATGAGGATTTGGTAACATGCTTTTCCATTTTCTGCCACTTTCTATATTGGGTTACATGGCTTTCATCTGAACAAGTTTCCCTCCAATAGACTCACAATTTGTTACAAATTACCTTCAACTCCCAGCTCATTGGATGTCTTGTTTTTCTATAAATGGACAGCAGGTGCAGAAATGCCTAAAAAGACCAAAATAGAGTGAGAGACAGGAAACAGAGAGAGAAAGAGAGAGTGAGCATGAGCAGAACTGAGGGATGGAGCAGAAGGAAAGATGGCATGTCCTGGCTTGGCATTGTAATGTGTGCAGATTGGTGGAGGAGGCGGAGGCCCATAACTCAGCTTGATAATAACCAAGGCCAGAGACCATAGCTCACCTCGCTGTATCTCTGCCACTGCCCACCTTTGCCGGCTAAACGCTTCTCATTTGCTCTGCAGAGCTGTGCAGCTTCCTCACACCAATCAACACAATTATACTGAAGTTCACAGCATCCATCAGTGGGCAGATGAGAGGAGAGGCACCGCTAATACACCATCTCTCTTGTAGGGGTAATAGGCTTTTGGACTGTGTCAGCCTCCACTTGACTGCTTAGATGCAACCATGTATTTTGAACAGAGGAGGAAGTCAGTAGTTTGAAGTTACATGCATAACTTTATTACACTGCTCATCAAATTAAGGTGAATTATTGAAGTTTTGGTCATCTTCATTTATTCAGCCTTACATATTTGTAGTTTTGTTTTCATTTCACTTCTCCACAAATGAATATTCTGCCAAGGTTTCACTCAATACATAAGATAAAGGAGAAAAACAATTAGCACATTTGCAGACCTCCCACTGTGGAGTATTCCCAGCCAGAACTCCCACAGACCCTCTCTGATGTAAAAAGCCTATAGGGCTGATAAGAGTTGTGCGTCATTCATGTGTGCTGATATTTTTACTCTGCTTATTCATTTTTGACCGCCTTACGGGGTAAATACTGAATTCTTCAGTGCAGAAAGACACTCCCGCAATTTAGATTTACATCTCTACTGATGTAAAAGTAAACAACTCTAGCAGCTGCAGCTTTAACAAAAACCAATCACCGTTACTCACTCCCTTCTTCTGATCAGTTACCTTTACTTACTTATCCTTCACATAGACACACATCCAAAATAATGACATGCTTACTCCAAAATAAGCTCATTTTTGTAACTACAGAAATAAAAATCTCCTTACCTTACAGGGATGGACACTTTCACTGTAACCATGGTCTTATCAAAACCTTGTTTAACTTGACAAAGTTAAAGCTCCTGTGAGGTTGCATACTTTTGTGTATCATAAATAAATTTGAGTTTAATTCATACATGTGAAAAAACTCTCCACAGGACCCTAAATTTATATTGATTTCCCATGATAGATAGATAGATAGATAGATAGATAGATAGATAGATAGATAGATAGATAGATAATGGGTTAACATCACTGTGCATCCCTAACTTCATAAAACCTGGCTGTGGTCTCAGGGATGTCACTTCTTGGCATCTGAAAAGATGTTTTAAAGCTCTATATTGGTGGTCGCTGAAAATGCATACTTACCCCAGTTTACCTGGACTCAGACAAATGTATGGAGTCTATGTAGGCTTTATTTTAGCCCCCTGGCAAACAGCTATAATATGCCCACCTGCCGTCCAGCTCAGAAAGGCTCCAGTTTATGCAAACATATGTATAACTCTCAGCCTGGGGTGCCGGTTAGGCTTAGAGGTTGAATTACACACCCCAGAGGCTAAAATCCTTAAAGTGGGCACCCGCGGTTTAGCTCTGACCCCATGACCTTTCGTTGGATGCCACTTACATACTCTCTCTTCCAAATTTTCACTGTCCAGTCTCAGGATAAGAACAAAAATATTGCTAAAATAACAAACTTTATGTTTCCTTCAAAGTACATTGTTGTTGGGTATTTTATCATGGGTCCTAACGGGGATTTCAGTGCTTTTGGAGCCAGCCTTCAGTGGATGCTAAAGGAACTGCAGCTTTTTTCATTTTTGCACAGGCTTCATTTTTTGCTGCATGTTGTGCACACGTACAGCAGAAACCCATCGGGATTTCCCAACATGCCATGGTATGATAAAATACTCGTGGATGCACGTGTTCTTAATCACTCTCAGGCACACACAGGTATCTTCTGACTGACAGCCACACATGGACAGAGACCCCTGCTCTCCTTAAAGTGATATTTCAGCATAATGACTCTTCGGAGAGTTGCATGAGGTCATTATTGTCCTAATGGCTCTTTGTATCAGTGCACACTGTCTGTTGCTGCGTATGCAAACAGCTCTTGTGTGTTTGAGTGAGTGTGGGGTTCCTTTGGGAGCTCCCTGTACGTGCCTGCTCACTGCCACATCCAGGATGGATGGCAGCTCAATTGAATAAAGGGGCTCACCGCTGCACAATACAGCCGACGTGCAGAATCCACAATGAGCGCTGGATTTACACCCCCTGTCTGTGTGTGCGTGAATTAGCATTGCTAACCCCTTTTTCCTCAGTGTGTGCAAGTGTGTTTGTGTGTGAATGTGCTTTCATCTCCAACTGGGACTTCTCCATAAATGCTACCGGCAATAAATCCCAAAACCCCAGGGGGACATATTGGTCTTGTTACAGGGCAGCGTCCGTGCTTTAGTGGACCACAGCCCACACTGAGAGTTTGTAGAAGGAAAGAGGGAGAGATGCCATTGTTGGAGCCATCAGATTCAGCTCGCTTTCATGAAAGTGGGTTGTTGCGGGTGTGGCAGGATGGAGTTATCTACAAAGAAGCTTGGTGGAAAAAAGAAGGCAGTTGGAAAGGAGGAGTGAAGATGCAGATTAAGGCTTTGACATGCAAGGTTAAAATCTGCATTTTTTCTCGGGCTTACCAAACACAAGGTGATTCTGACAAACTGTCATGACCCATGCAGGAGAGAACACGAAGGCTAGCTTCCTAACATGCTTGCAAAATCCTCTCATGTGTGCTTAATATTCATCTCATCGCCGTGGAGGCCAGGCAGCAGTCACAGCTGACGTCTTTGTTTGAAAGTTTCTGTCAATTCGATGCTAAAATTTTGCTCTGAACTTGAGAGAAGAGCTGTTTTTAAAAAAGAGCCACCATGCTAGCGGCGTGGAAACAACGAGAGAACAGTAATTCCACACCTGCCATCATTATGCTCCTGATTTCTCAGGCTTCCTCATATTCTCCACAACAATACCCACACAAAGGGCTAATTGCCTACTGCAGAAGCGCCCGCTCATCTAAAGATTTCTCTGAGGGTTGGATGCTCAATTTTCCTCGAATTGACTCCACAGAAGAAGAAAAAAAGCGATAAGTTAGCTCTAATAATAACATTTGAGTATCAGTGGGTGTATCTTTGCCACTGAACTGACAGCTTTCAGCATTATTCTCACTTACAAAGACTGACCGGGAGAATGAGGGGATCAATTTGTCTCAGTCTGTTTCTGGTGTGAATGGAGCCCATATTCCTTATCTCTTCCAAACACTGAAACTCCCTGCCTGCTCTGAGAGGAGATGCTTTCATTATTTGCCCATGAACAGTATGCAGGGAGGGGAAAGAAAGCCAAGAGAATATGGCATTATCTGAGCGCTGCTAAACACTCCAGCTGTGTGATATGGCAACTTGGAAAGCTGTTGTGTGTGTGTGTGTGTGTGTGTGTGTGTTTGTGTGTGTCGTTGTATGCACATGTGTGGATTTGCATGTAGGCAAGTAGTTCTGGGGCAAGTTGGTTAAGTGCATGTGCAGAAATCCCTTTCAAGGAATCTTTCTAAATTAGAGCGCAGGCACACACACTCACACACACACACACACACATGTACATACATATGCTTTCACACAGTACACTACAAAGCAAAGGCAGCACTCTTGAGTCAAGACCGGTCCTCTCTTCTCCACTCTCCTTCTCCTTCTCTCCATCCGTGTCAGTGGAGGCTGTTACGGCTCAATCAGACTCACAAAGACGCTCTGGAGCTCCTTTTCTTTGTCTGCTGTCACCCTCGCTCAAAAGTAAGTCACCTTTCTTTTTCCCTCTCCCTGCTTCCTCTTTACTGAGTTTGCATTTTCTTGTCCGATAAAACTAAAGAGGTGAGAATGGGATGTCACTCTCCTCGTCCCCCTCCTCTCTCTCTCTCTCTCTCTCTCTATCCCTCTGTCTTTTTTTCCCCCTCCCTGTCCTCTTTACTCTTCACTCTCTGTTTGCTATCTGGTATGACTAGCTCGTGCGCAGACTGATGAACAAGCGATCTATATTCTGTGGAGATTACAGGAGCTTTGTCAAAGTGAAGGCAAGGAGAGAGTCATGAGAAATGTAAACAGAAAGACATTGATTGGCATTCTGAACTCTGGTTCGGATTATAGTCTTATCAATTTGTCTGTGATTCCTTGTGTGTTAGTCAGATATCAGTTTGTCTGCCTGTAAGATGACTTACTTTCACAGACTACATTTAAGTTTTTGGCGTCTCCCGCAGCAGCAAGCTGAACATAAGATAATGTTTGTCCCCCTTAAAAATTCATGTACAGCTACATATTTAGGCATTTACATATACTGGACAAGCACTGCAGCCATTGTTGCAGACACTTGTGTATTTTCCTTTGGTTATTTTAAGGCTTTTGTTTCACTTGCTTAACGTCCCACTGGCCACAAGGACAACCTAATCAGGCTGCAATCAGCAGTGCCGCAGGAGTACAGTTCTTGCATCTCGTTCCTTACTTCATTGACTTATGGTTGGGAAGGCTGGCAGCCTATCAATGCAGAGTAATTACAATAGGCCAGTGTGAGGTTGAATAATTGATGTGCATTTCGGAGCTGATGTATGCTGAAAAACCTATCTGCTGAGAGTCCCGTCAGTAGTTTATCACAGGGCGAGAGAGGGGAAAGTGCAGCCTGACTGCCAATGCTTAGTGCTGTAATAATGATGCCAGTCTGGGCCTGTCAGCACCGGGAACACTGGGAGTTAGCCCCCATGCTGGTTGCAGCTCAGCTATCAGCTTCAGTCTTTCCCCCGGATCGATACCTGCAAGAGGAATGGTTTCAATGTAAGACACTCCCAAACTCTGCGACTGTAGATCAGCCTCCTGTTAGCAGAGTTAGACGTACATGAGGACCGTTGTTACTCCTCTCTATAGATAAGTGACAAAGGGAAGCAGATTTTGAGTGTGACACAGTGTTCAAACAAAAAGGTAGGAAGGGTACTTTTAACAAGGAAGTGAACAAAAAAAAGGTGCTGTGTCAGTGAGGGCATTTCAGGTGCCAGTGAGACACTGAAATACAGGAAGTTTGGTTTGAGTTATGGATCCCTGAGTCTGAAGGTTTTCCACTTGCTGAGAAACTTCACAGTGGTTTGTCATACCATGAGACAGGATTTTACAACTCTGTCGAGCCACCAAGGCACCCATCATTTCACCCTCTGTCTCAACTATCGCGAGGGAATATATTAGATCAGCTGAACATGGCCGGTAAATCTGAGCCCTGTTCATGTCCTTTCTTCTGGACCAACCTGGTTTTTTCTTGTTGAAGCTCCTTTCTTCTGTGCAAACATAGTGGTTTGTTTTAAACGAATGGCCTGGCTTCTTCTACAAGTTTACAGATCTATCACATATCCCTGATGTTTTTTAGCCATGCAAACATAAGGGAATAAACGTTTTTCGTGGGTCTTGGATGAGGACTGAAAAAAGCTGTGACAAAAAGTCTGCATCTTCAGTTTAAAGGATGTGTGTTATCTATAAAGCACTGTGCTTGCAGCAGTCTAAAAGTTTATTCACATCCCAACAGGGTGGGTGGTGGAAATGGATTTTAATGAAGGTCATCACCTGCGATTAAACAGCAGTTTTAAGAAATTTGGGTTGTTATTATTTAATTAAAGACATAATTGTGAGCCCTGAGGCAAGATCAGCTGAGGATCACTGCCTCTGAATACCTTATTCAGACTTCACAAGGATCACAGAGCTTGCAGACAGCATTATCGGGTTTTCACGAGTCTAGATCCATGAAATTGTTATGTTGTTACAGTAATCTGCAATCTGACTGCAGTGGTTAGGTCCGCTTTTGCTTCACAGCAAGAAGGCTGCTGGTTTGACTCCCAGCTGAGGCCTTCTCAGTGTGGGGTTAAAATGCTTCTCCAGTACATGCATGGATCTGCAGCTTCCTCCCACAGTTCAAAGACAAGCTCCTCAGGTTAACTAGTCTCTTTGTATTACCTGTCAGTGTGAGTGTGAGCGTGTCAGGTTGTAACCTGGTAACCTATCCAAGGTGGAGGTCTCTCTCCCCTTGACAGCTGTAATAGGCTCCAGATACCAAGGAGCCATGATCTGTAAACTCTAAGACAGTCCTCCATTAAAAGCAGACATGACTCTGTAGTGGAAATCACTGCAAAACTATTGCGTACACTGATTAAAACTGCGTCATGCAAAGAGGAAACCAGAAATACTTCTTCCTGAGGTGAAGTGGTATGATCTTCAAGATCAAAATCTGTCCTCTGCTGTGTAGAGGAGAGAGAGAGAGAGAGAGAGAGAGAGAGAGACCACCCAGTTTGTTATCACGGTACATTTCAGAAGCCAGCATCCGTGTTGGGACTGGTATGCATAAGAGCTCATGACACGAGTAACTTAGACTACTTGGAGGGCTCTATTACTGCTTAATGATACGTACAATTTTTTGAGCAACATATGCTACCATTCAGAGAATCTTTTTGTTGAGGTGAGACTTTGCCTCTTTTAATAAAACAGTACCAAACTGAAGTATCATGAAACCAAAGAATAATCAAGCTGTTAGAATACAATGTCAGACAAGAATGGGACATCATTCACTTTCACATCTTCAGAATCTGGTCTCCTGGGTCCCCAAGGGTACAGTCTGTTTTTACAAGAAGAGCTGATGCAACACAATGGTTAATATTCTTCAGTCCCCACTTCTTTGAAACATGTTGTTGGCATCTGTGTTTATTTTTTACAAAACATTTTTTAGTTGAAATCAAATGAAAACCATCACATCATCACATTTTGTTTTTATTGTCATTTTACAAAGCCCCTGGAGCAGGGGTTGTATTTAAAAGATCAGTAAAAATATTCAGAGAGTGTCTTAGTACAAAATGCCAGTTTGGAGTGTCTCCCGTTCTTGACTCTCAACAGGAATATCCTCAAATATTTTTTTTCACCAAAGATCTTGTGTGTAATCAAGCTGATATTAATCAAATCTGTTGTGGTAATTTTAGGGGCTTTTCTCAGTGACTCTTGAGAGAAATGGAATGAAATGTGAGCATGTTTCTAAGGGTCATGAAGTCCAGCTCTGATTCTGAGCAACGGTAATCCTTCTTAAGATGAATTTCTTCCCCTCAGACTGATTCAGATGATGAGCTTTGTAGATTCTTTTGCCCGTAAAGAAATCGCATAATGTTCCTTTGGGTAGTCAGGCATGCAGACAAGAAATAATAATCATGTATATATGTGACCTGACTGCTGAAACAGGACGTTTGTTAAGTGTAGTGGTATACTACAGATAGAGTCTTGTTGGAATGTTCTCCTAGATTTAATGTACACTTAAAGACTGTAATGTATTTTATATCACTGTGTGCCAGACAGGGTCACAAACAGAGGTTTTGCCTCTGTCTACCACGATTTCTTCTCCTCTCCGCTGAGGCGAATAATCTCTCTCTTTTACTCAGTTGCCAAGGCTTGGCTCGGCTCAGGCTCTCGGTCAGTCTGCCGCTCTCTATGTCTCTCTTTCCTTCTCTTACTCTATCTCACTGCAATGCCCACAAGCCCCAGAGCCAAACTCCACCCAGACTCACTCACACTGCATCCATTATGTATAGGCCAAAAATTGAAGAATAACAGGCTTAAGGCGAAGAAGTACAACATAAATAAAGTACAACAAATTAAGAAGAAAGGGAGACGCACTGTTTAAATCTATATTTGGTATGCTGTCTAGATGTGTATCTCTTTTCGGCATCTTTAAAACCGATAAATTAACCAGTATTATATGATGGAAAATTATGCCTTTACGAGTGCAAGTATAATGTAGACAAAGTTGTAAAAAGTTACAAAGTTACTCATAAAATATTAAAGAGATTGAAATATTTTATGATTAACTTAAAGGGACAAACAAAAGAGCTAATAAATACACTAGAATGTCATCAGCATACCGGGATAAGGTGGCATGTTGGCATCCTGGCAAACCAATTATCTTGGTCATATTCTTTTAAGCACCACATAAGCCTGCAGAGATTCAGTTGCACACACACACACACACACACACACACACATATATATATAGCTGCAGCCACTGCAATGCAATAATAATTTAAAAGACTAGTGATACCTCTGGAGGCCATCTGGACAGAAAAAAAGTGAACAAGAAACACTAATAAAACAGAGACATAACATTTTTATTAAGGCTGTAACTAAATGAAGAAACATTTTTAATGCAAAAGACCTACTGTATATGTTTAAGTAGCTTACTATAGCAAAGGTTTAAATATGTCTCCATCTGTTTCTATGCTTTTTATGCTCATGAACAATGATTAAGAAAAATACCTGTTGTCTGGAGTTGCTGTGATAAAAAGTGAAAACAGTTTGCCTGATGTTTTGTGTATGCTCTCTCTTTTCACTGGAACCATATGGAGTAGTCCTATAGACTCTCGTTTTTCAAAAACTGTATTAATTTCCTGGATGCCTCTGCCCGGACCAGCTTCCCTTCTAGGATCACTGTCGTGCCACTTCACATTTGGCTTTCATTTTACGCACGGAGAGCCCACAACCACATGGTCCATCCTCCCGCTACTAGAGCTGAAGCTTAAACAGACTACACCAGACACAGAGCCAGAAAGTGTCCTCTTTTGGCGAGAAAAGGAAGGCTGTGCATATTCATACAAACAGGAAATTTGAATTAATTTACAATGCAAATTAAAAACAGGCACAACTTTGTACGGACAGAAATGTAATATATTTCAGGGTTCTGCTGATTATCGTCCATGGCTTCATAGCGAGCTGAAGAGCCTGAAATCTTTTGCTGTAACAACACAGTCTCTTTCAACAAGCCGCGATCATTCCTCTCTGTACAAAGGAAACCGATTTTGTATCTCCTCCCCTTCTCATCAACACAAAGATGAGGTTAGGAGGTCTCTGCTGCTCCATCTTTCATCTGATAAAAAAATACCAACTACAAGGTTTTCCTTTCTTCAAGGGTATAATATCCTCTTTATATATTTTTTGATACTTTCTTTCGTGAGTCTGCTCTGTTATACTCATGTCCCTCATTTAAAGAAGGTCTGGTGTGTTTTGTTTGTTTATGTGGCATTAAGAGGGCAGTTGTGTAAGAATACTGACTGATATTTTCAGACACTGTAAGATAAGTGTAGTGCAGTAGCACAAAGTCCAAATAATTAGCTTTTTCTAGTAGAGTTTGATCAGCATCATGTCAAATTTTAGAGACCTCACAGAGGTTAGTGGATGTCCCGGTGCATATCACAAAAAGTCACAGCATGATGGACCAGAAACATCCCGTAAATAAACTGATGGTGAGAGGACAAAAGAAGCAGGTGAATGATAATCATTTACAATGTTGAAACAGATGCAGAGCAGCAAGAACAGCTGATGAACAAAAGTTAACGTGTTTAGGATCATTTAAAAAATGAAACCAGTAACTTCTGCTGTCCGGTTTTCATTGGTGTTGTCACTTTTAAGACTTTACTACAGGAGCACAGCACTGTGAAAGCTGACTGTATCTATGAAGTTACAACAACAACTCAGCTTCATAACTTCATAACTCAGCTTCATAAGAGACAGCTCCTGCACTGGAACGACTCCCTGAAAATGGGGATCATTCGCCAGAGCTGTGTTCAGTCCATCTCTGCTCTGTCACAGCCTCAGAGCTCAAAGCTCTCATTCAGGTCAAAGGGTGTGCTCAGGGAAGTTTCAGTTAGACCCTGAAACAACAGGCTCCAGATTCAATTTTCTTCAACAAAACTGACCTAACTTCAAAATGATCAGAACCAGGTCTGTTTCCAGAAGCTGTTGATAATAATAATAATAATACATTTTATTTAAAAGCGCCTTTCTGGACACCCAAGGACACTGTACAGGCATTAAGAACACAGTTAAAACACGGTTAAAATAAATAAAAACAATATACATGTATGGAAATGGACAGTTAAAGGGAATATGCAATTTGGAACAGATGTGTTTTGAGTTTTGATTTGAAGTGGGGTAGTGAGTCCATGTTTCTGAGATCCGGGGGGAGAGAGTTCCAGAGTTTGGGAGCAGAGCGACCAAATGGATGGGGGGAAGCTCATCATGGAGTTAGAAAACCACTGATTCTGTGTTTAATGGAGGACATTCTTAACCTGAATCATTGTAAAGAACTAGAATTTGGTGTGCTGGGGCTGTTTACCTGAGAGGGATGACAGGATGAATCGCAGACAACTTGAGCAGGAGTTTACAGCCTTTGTCGACACGAAGTGATCCATGGATCTCTATGGACGTAATGTTTGGTTAAAGGAGTTTCTTGGACTTGGATCACAAGGACCGTCAGAAACAGATTTCAACATCTCTGTTGTTTTTATTAATTAAACAGAGTTTTCAAGCGATCTGTTAATCCAAGTTATCGTCTTTGTTAACAGATTATCAGTTTTACAGAGTTAAATGTTGGATTAACTGTGCTCATGTCTGCTGATACCCACCAGTTCATACTTAAAGTAAAAAGGATTTGGGATTAAAAAAAGTCCCCCAAATTTTATCTGAGGTCCGGTTAGCTGCACACAATCAGATAATTGAAATGTCCTTCAGAGGGCTTCTCTTTACTTTGATACTGAGTACATTTCAGAGCCGGCATTATTCAGTCTAATTTTAGTAAAGATGATGATTCAGCACTTTTACTTTCGCCAAAGCCCCTCTTTGCTTGAGTGTCTCAACTCCTACTCGAGAAAAGATTGTTTAAACTTTTGTCGCCGTCGCTAAACAGAAAAAAATCAAGAGAAATTTCAGCAGACAGGTAATGTCACTGAAGCTAAACTGGCTCCTTAGCTCAGCGTTTGTCTGCCCCTGATACACTGCACCGGAGCAGCAGCAGAGTGGTCTCTGATAAGGAGCGTCTAACGCTAACCATGCTGCACCCTGGAACAAACTACAGACAGCTGTAGAGCTCAGACTCTCAGTAATCGTGTCTGACGGCTCACAGCCACCTACCGTCTTTGTGTTTGATGCTCTTGGAAATGTTTATGTAGACACCACCTCTCTTTGTCTTTACCCAGACATTTCTGTGTCTCTGAAGAACTCATTATACCTGTCATAAAGGTGTCTGGTCAAATCCCTGTATCTCATTAGAGCTATCTCTGGTTAGATATTAGCTTTTTATTGCAAGACCCAGGATGTGTGTGAAAGAGTGGGGGCCTGTAGACAGAGGAACAGTCTGGTAAGGAAGGCCTCCCCCTCACTTCTGAGACGCTTTTATTGCATCTTTATTTCATTAACAGCAGCTCTGTGCAGTCCATACGCCTTTCTTTTTCTGTTGCAACAGGGAAAGTTATACAAATTTTCTTAATTAACTTGAATAGAAAACAGCTCAAGAAGGTAAAAAGTCAATATTGCATGGCGCTGGGGACTGGGGCTTGTTTGAATTAATGTCTTTGCATATTGTAGCTGTTCAGCAATAGATCTCCTTTAATAGCAACACATGATGAAATATAGAGGCTGTTTTAGCGCCGCTTTCAAGTCTGCCAGTCTGGCATTATAAAGTTTATTAGAGTAAATGACATTATCAAAATTTCCCTGTCTTTGCCTTCAGAATATAAACACTGTAAACATTTCCCTACTGTAAATGACATGAGATCATTTATGTGACTTATTACTGTTTGCAAAGTCATTTCCAGTATCAGGCAGATTTTGTTCACTGTATAGGTTGTTTTTCATACTTTCACAAACAATTCCCATCCCCTGATCATTGATTATTTGGATGTGTTTTAAACATTAAAAAACCCAGGAGCCTCCGATTTATGTAGAAATTTAAAACATATAGAAATGTGTGCTTCTTAAGGGTAAGGAAGACACAGTATGAAACTGCATTTCATACTTTCATACCAATTATTTCTAATAGTTTAAATAGAGGAATTAGGAATAAAGGGCAATACACGCCAGGAACAAGATGAAAACCATTTTATGATCTCTTTTATTATGAATATTTATTATTGCAGGGTTAAGCTGAGTGGTTATATTGGGAGGCTGTAGTGCTCACAGCAGGCAGCATGGTTTCACATACTAATGGACCTTTGCCCCATGTCAGCCCCCACTCTCCTTCCGCAGTTTCCTACCCTGTCCACTGCTCTATCCATCAAATAAAAGCATAAAATAGCCCTAAAATAATCTAATATTTTCAAGAATGATATGTGTGATTATTATATGCTATCAAAGTTGACTCTTTGTAGGACAACTGTCAGGTAAAAAGCTCTCTGTGCATCAAATGTCATCAAATAAGATTGTGTGAGATAAACCTGAGCAGTCATGGCCAATAAGATTTGTGGTTTCCTTTATTCAACTGCTAAAAAAAGAAAAATTGCAGACACAAAAATCAAATCTACATTTCCAGGCAGACTTTCACTGTAATGTTGTGGTATGCTAAAAATAAGTCAGTTTCAGACAGCCTAATAGCGTAATGTAATGTATGGAGCACTGGAGGCAGGACAGGAAATCCAATCTGTGTTTATGTTTAAAAGCCTCTCAGTGTGTGTGTGTGTGTGTGTGTGTGTGTGTGTGTGTGTGTGTGTGTGTGTGTGTGTGTGTGTGTGTGTGTGTGTGTGTGTGTGTGTGTGTGTGTGTGTACTGTATGTACGAGGTAGCAGCACTGGCTGATAAGCTGACCAACTGAGAGCAGGAGACACCAGCAGCCCTGAGACTGAGGGACTGTCAGAGGGAAAAGTCAGAGTGACTCTGCTGAAGGCTGAGGCCTCAGGAGCAGCTCTGCATCTTATCTCTGCTTCCTCTCAGCAGACCTTCAGCTCTGACCTAGATGCAGGTCATTTAGGACCCCTCTAACCTCTCCAAACATGCAGTTTTTTACCAGTGACTTAAGACGGAGTTTTGTGTCGCCTCCTTTCGTGAGAATCTATTTTCTTGTTGTTTTCAACTCAGTCACCTCAGTGTCAGTATGTTAATGAGTTTGAACCACTGCCTTTGTAGAGATTGTTGGTGAAGTTGTTGGTCCTTCCGTGTTAACAGGGACACAATCACATGGCTCATGAGGCATTTACCACCTCCAGATGTGGTTTGACCAATCAGATCTCAGTAGCCACAGTGTAACGTTTACAAAAGGATGACAGATGAAGCAATAAAGACTGACGCTGTGATGAGGTTTTTATATTAAGTCCATATGCCGTGGAAACAGAAAGATGGGCTTTGAAACTGACTCTCCTTCTTTTCCCCTGTCTCCTTTGACATGTTGCTCCCTCGCTGGTGGTGTCATTTCTGGATTTTTCCCTCCATGTTCTCACACCAGCTCTCCTGACTTCATTTGGAAATTTTACAAGGGGTGAGGCAGGAAAAATTCAGGGTTAAATTTAATCTGGATGTATTCACACATGCTGCCCACCCTGGCTGCTGGTTGTAAACAGGGTCTGTGATTATAATATCAGGGCCGTAAGATGACTAAGAAACCTGTGAGAGTGAAATTAGGCTTCATCATCGTTCTTAAAGGGCACTTCAGCTGAGGAGATGTTTGATTGGATCCAGCACCATCCTCCTGCCCTGAAACCGCCACTAAAGGACCCCTGAGCTGTGTGTTTGCCTGCATGTGTATGTTTTTCTATACACACACATACATGTGAGCCTGTACTACTGCAGAGAGGACTGGATTTGTGCTGTTTATTCAATATGGCTCAGAATACCATCGCTTTAAGCCACCTGGGTAAACAGGTTATTGCCATATCAATCATTTACAGCGACATGCAGTGGTCGAGACCACAGACAATATTGACCACCTGACTGACAGAGATTAATGTTGCTGCTCATAAACAGGCCGATTCACCAGCTCCTCCTCTCTCCAGACTCCATCTATTTCTCCTCTTCTCCGTTAGCTCGGTCATCAGTTTTCTTCTCCATTCTTTCAATCATCTTTTTTTCTCTTCCTTCCCCCTTCAGTTTTATTATTTTTCTTATCTATTTCTGTTATTCTTGAACCAAGAACAAGGACAACTCTCTTTATGTGGGTTATGACTTCAGTCTGACCCCTAAAGCCGCAGAGAGTTGGAGTATATTAAGAATGAACATAATCGTTCATAATTATTTCCAGGTGAAACCAGCTCATTAAGGCGAATCTCCAACTTTTGATTGAGGGTTAAACGGCATAGTCAGGTGTTTTTATCATTCAAAATGAACTCTGCAAAGGTTTAGCCAATGTCATTCTTCATTAATCTGGAGAAAATGGTGCATTGCTCTGGATTAAATGTACACAACAAGACATTAAACAAGAACACGAAGCAAAACATTAAATTTAGATCAGACTTTTCATCCTTTTTGAGGTCAATAACTCTGTTTTGCATTAGCAAGCTTTGGTGGGAGATACCATAAATCAGAGATAAATGCAAATGTGTGATTTAGCAAAAGAGCTGACATGGTTTTCATGTAAAAATTAGGCCACATGATCTTGTAAGAAAACTGTTTACTAGACTGGCAGACTCTATTGTGAGATTAGATGATGGACCGCTGCATGACAACAATGCACCTGCTGGAATCTGATCAAAACAAAAGAGCTTTTCTGTCTTTTGAAGGTCTGAAGATAACTCCAGCATTACTTGTAATGTTGAATCTTCTGTGAATGTTAACAGCCCCTCAGCTCTGTAGCAATTCAGGGCAACAGCAGGGCAGACTGTTAACTTCAAAAGACTATCAAAATACATTGTAATTTATTCACAAGGTTTTTACTTGGAGCAGAATTATCCAAAGAGAGCTCCTCCAAACTAAAAATGGACCAGATGGTGAAAACACTGGATGAAGCTGTTTCACATTGGAGACAGGGGTGTGTACAGATTGGTGGCACCAGGGGTGGCATGGGCCCCCCTGAAAACATGGCCACCCCAAAATCCTACTCCAGATATTTTGATATTTTTTAAGTATTTTTGGCTTTTATCTCTTTTCTTTTTTCTTTTCTTTTTTTTTGTTTTTGGAAAATCAAACTGTGCTTCCACATTGTTATGTTTCTTTTCAAAGTTGAATCTGAACATGGACTTGGAAAGGCACAGTCAGATGGTCAGACTCATTGTTATCTGGAGATTAAAAAAGAGAAAGTTCATTTATATTTCATGCTCCTCGGTGATGCAGCACGGGTCACCTGAAGCCCTGCAGCTCTGGTCATCTTCATCTGTCCTTGCTCGGTGTATTAAGTCCCTGAAGCTGTGGCTACATTTGATTCAAACCTCTGCAACGTACATCGAATGAAATAAAGCTTGGAAAGTGTTATTTCAGAGGGATGTGTTCATTTCCTCCATTTATAAAAGCCCCAGCAGGAAGTAGTTTAATATAGTCCACATTATTGAAGTTATTCACTCAATTCTGCGGATCTCATTTCGATACTGGCAGGCAGTGGGCTTCACGCTGATGACAAAGCCATCTATTAGTTTCACACATAGGGGGAGGAAGTGTTAACAGTCCAGCAGTGAAAGTCTTGTATAGTTCGTGAGATTTCTAAAGAAATCTCCCTGCCAGATACATGAGAATTAAGCCTAGAACCTGTAGTTCTGACTGTATCCATTAGTTTCCTCCATTTACAAGAGCAACTGTAGTTTATTTTAGTCTTTAACACCCATGGAAATCCAGCGAAGAGAGGCAAAGGTGAGGAGGAGTAGTCTGGAAGGCACTGGGAAAATACTGTCTGATTTGTTCAAATTGACCAGAGAGAATAATAATTTATTTCAAACGCCTAGCATGTGCTTTAAAAAGTCATTCATGAAGCTACAGAGTTTAAGAAAGCCAAAGTCGTGTCATTTAAACCCCTCCCATTAGCTCAGTGATTGGGCCGGCTTCCAGCTGCCCAGCTCAATTATTACTTGATGGCTGTCGTCCAGACTAAAATTTCCAAGGCTGACTTTCAGGGGATGAACGATATCCATATTTTAGAGCGACTTCATTGAAACTCTCACCATTTCCATGAGCCTTTCAAATGCAAAAAAGCTCATATTTTACATACTGTGTCTTCATGACAGTCACAGAATTACACTCAATTTTCATTTTAATTAAAGTTGGTTCCATGTAATTTGTTTTACACACAGCTGTGCTTCATGCCAGCCTACGATGTTCCCTACTTCACGAGTGATTCAACGCTGAATATTTTCCAGTGAGTGACTGTATGTCTTACTCTGTTCACATTTCTTTTTTGGTTCGCACCATGGGATTTTTTCCATCTCACTGCTTTCTTACTGTAAAGGTGAATTTGTCGAGCAAGTGGGGAAGGAAGGAGATATTTTAATGATAACTTGATCCCCCTGTGGGCGAGGAGCCAGATGAGAAAATCAAGTGAAACCAAGTGTTAAATGCACGAGAGTGGAGCTGATAAATTATTGATGACCCGTGGCATTGCATGACCAACCACACACACTAACACATGTTTCTTAAACTCATAAACACACACTAATACATGTACAAAACATAGAAAAGACACACTTAATATAGCATGTCCAGCTTACAACCAACATATGATATTTGTCTGTTTGGCAACAAAACCTGGAATGAAATATCCGGTAGAATAATGAATAACTCCCGCATTAGCAAAGGCTGCAATAATGTCTTCTGAGAGCAAATGTGCAGCTCTAAAACTTATTATTTTCTAAAAATGACTCGCACAGAATCATAAGTCAGACTAATAGGCCATTGTCAAAAGAAACCTCATTCTCTAAGAAGTCAGCGCTCTGCATTACTGTTTACTGTAGCAGAAATAAATGGAATTAATTTGGTTGGAAAGAGACTTCTAATCATGTTGCCCTTCTATTTCATGCAACAGCAAAAAAAAGAGCTAAAAAATTCCAATTATTTCTCATTAAACCCTGTACCACCTCCTTTCAGTGACTTCCTCTTAATTGGAATATGAAATTAACATACTCCCATGAAATAGCTGAAGGGATCCAGAAGAAACAAGATCCTAATGACACGCCCTGCTATCAATCAAAGGTGAGGCAATGACAAAGCAGATGGGTGCTCAGGGATATTTTTAACCTCTATTTACCCTGTTTTGAGGACCTTGTTATTCCAGTTTTTAAATCGTGCAACGTTAGATAGATTCTCAGCTGAGGGCATATCGACTATATCCATTCACAAAACTCACGGTTGTGTTTTTGATGCATCCTTGAGGGCGAAAAAGCTCCAATAAAAGACCATTCACATAGAAACCATAATAATTCTGCAGTATTTCTGTTAACCTGGAGGGGTCAGCTCCCCTGAACATGCTCACAGGACTATTCAGGCCTCATTGCATTTGAGATTTCCATCCTTTTGAATTACTGAGATTAAACATAAACAGACCAATAAACTTTATGTGCTGCATACTGTATTTGTCAGTCAAATGTAAAACCATAGAAATTTTGAATAACAAATGACATTAATGCATTGATTATTGAATTTGTTTCTGTTTCATAATTTTTAACTAAATGAATCTTAGTTGATCTACAGCTTATTGTTTTTAAACTATATTCATACATTTTAACAGGTTAACCTGAATTGTTTTCAGGATAACAGATTTATGCTGAATTCAAGACATTTGAATAAATTAACTCCAAGTAATTAAATAATCTAAATAAAATCAAATAGGTGTAAATAGTCAAAATTAAGCTATGCCACAATTCATTTTTCTGAGTGCAGTGAAGACTTCAATCACTCCAGTGTTGGCCTGAGGAGTGTGTGACAACCATGTCTCTCCTATGGTGCACATTTTGGTAACCCTTAATATTGTATTATATCAAGATGCATCATGAGCACATTTGTAAAGCCTTACTGATGCATTTATAAGACTTCATGGAAACACAGAGGGTCTAAAGCAACAAGGATTGGTAAAAAGTCTTGTGAATTAATTAATTTATAAGAACTTTATAAATGTGCTCAGGTTCATATAAAGCCCTACATTTTTACCTGTCAATCGAATGGTAGTTTTACCAATATCATCCTGTGTTTTAGAAATATGGAGGACTGTGCTGATATGATGAGACAGGTTAAGAAACTTAATGTGAAGATTCATAATATCACCCATTTATCACCTCCACCGTACACAACTTTTCACCAGTTGTTTTTGGTGTAGTGAATTACACAGAAGAAAGCTCATTTTTAATTTTCCTGTCATCTAACTTCAGGGTTTCAAGCGCACGAGCATCGACGTTGTCAAAACTTAAAGAAATCTTCTTTGCTCAATGATCATACACTGTTTTACCAATTAATCATCTTTTTCTTGGATGTTGTGTGCTTTCAAGGGTAAGAGAAGTTGTATGATGTTTTGTAATTGGCTTTCATTTCATAGTCCCCTGAAGCATGATGAAGAAAAGACAATAGAAAAGTTCTCCCAGCAAGAAAAAAGTCACCAGCTGCACCCTCCACTTAAAACACCTTCAAGGCTTACACTGTTTATATTCATAGTCCACGACCTGCAGCCACATGCACACACATGCACACACACAACAGGCAGCAAGGGGAGGCGAGGAAGACAAAGGAAGAGTTCAGTGATAACAAATTAGAGGAGTTTGCTCTGTGGCAGAACAGTGGCTCCCTCTGATTATGTCTAATTAACCTCTATGGAATTAAACAAGCAGGCACTGAGGGATTAGCGCACAGAGGCATGATCTTTATGCTTGCGTAGTGTGTGTGTCTGTGTGTGTAGAGTACCAATCTGTCAGACTTTGCCTGTCCTTCAGACCCATCACACAAAACGGAGCCGTCTCTCCTACTTACATCCACCTACTTATACATATTAACACAAACCTTCTCCGACATTGACAGTTCACGCTCACCCTCAAGAAAAGTCGCCGCTTAAAAAAACCAGAGTGATTGAAATTCAAATATACACAAGCTCTTGTCGCTTACAAGAAAACTGCATTTCCTGAGCTTGACTGTTACCACTGAACACTTCGCCTGAACTCTCACCATCCTCCCTGGGGTCGTGCCCGGCCTCTCAGTTTAACCCCACCTAACCTTGTACCTTATTTTAACCATAAAACAAACCATGACCCTTTAATAAAAGTGCTAACTTTTTAAGAAATCTGATGTTGTTCAGAGTGATAATAGACAGTGTGTATGCTCGGGTGTCCTCAGGGATCCCTTAGCATGCAGAAATATCCAAACATGTTTAATATTTATGATTTTAAGTCAGGAAGTCAGTGATTGTCTCCCTTGCAGACTTAAGAGAAGAAAAATCACTCCTAACACACCTCACACCATTATCTGGTAAGCTCATCTGCTGGACCTTTCCAAGATGGTGCCTTTGCAGACTTTGGTTGGAAGGCTGGCCCAGAACTGGCACGGTTTTCTTGTAGTTTGTGCGTGCTTTGGGTCTTAAGAAATGGAGCCAATCTGGAATCCTAAAAACTGCACTTCTTCAAGTTCTTGAGGCTGGATTTTAGTCTGAATAGTTAATTTCTTAATCTGGCGTGAACTTTTCGCTAACTCGTTTTTTTTACAGAATAAGAGTTTAAGAGTTTGGCACAATGAGAGGCACAGTTGACTTATTGTCAGACTGGTTTGTGCTCAAGTCCTCTTTTTTCTGTACAGCTCCATTTTTAAAAGTTATCAGGGGGTTCGTGTTTTCTATGATTGACACTTGATACAGCCTATGGACGTACAAGGATTGCGTAGCTCACCCGGGGGATATGCTGTTTGAGCAGAGCGTCATCACAGCGACTCTCCCGCCGAATGCGTACAATGCTACTGCGCAAGTGGTGGAGTGTGTACAACACTACTGTGCAATGTTGGTTTTAAGAAGTGGAGGAAAAACACGGAATTACCGAGAGCTTTTCGGCTTCAAATCTGTATACTGGTGGAAGGTGGAACCAAGTTGCCCATAGTATATACAGTCTATGGTGTGCACACTGTAAGGAGGCAAAAGGCTCGCTTTGCTGGGTCAGTATTTCCAATCCGGCTATCACTGCCCATAGGCTAGGTGACTTAGGCTACATTTAAGTTTGATACAGTCCTGTTGTTTAATAATTCACTACACCTCTGATATTCTGTCCATCATGACCACTGACATTTACTGCATTCACTTATTTTATTCCCCAAATGAAGTTTTTGTCTTTCTGTTGGTCTTGCCAGAGAATAACCTCTGGTTCCTGGTGTTTATGCATCATGTGTCCTGGCTGATTTCAGAGCTTTAAAAGGCTTGCCCAACATTGCTCATCATTCAGGGACTTTCTATTATCTCAGAGTCAGAGACAAAGAAATACACTTAGTGCGGCTCAGACTACCAATTACTGTGACTGTACTGGCTTTAGTGTTGAATTTCCATCACGAGGACCTTGCCGAGGGCACTAAATGTGCTAGGTCCTACCCTGAAAGAGGATCTACACTGTTACATCTTACCAGTTCAATCGTGGCTGCGTTTTCTCTCTCCCCCTTGCATTATATAATCTCAGTGACTAAGTCAACACTTGTAACACCTCTGGCTTCTTTATAAAAAGCCTGCCAAAGAGGGAGCTTTTATTAGGAGACATTGCGGGAAGTGCTACAGCTCTCTTCGGGAGAAGGTCAGAAAATGGAATCAAGGTGATGAAACAAAACTGAAACAGATTTACTCCCACTCCTGAGGTGACCAAACAGCTGATGCTCTCTCCCTGCTGGTTTGCAGACAGTTAGACTGACACAGCTGTAAATGAGGACTTTTATTAACAATCGGTCAGTTTAGAAAGCAATCTCATACGAATACTCCCTCCTCAATACATGACAGGTAGTGCTGAGCTCAGCAGGTGTGCAGGGATGAAAAAAAGTGATGCTGTTGATGCACAGTGTAAGGAAAAAACAGATGGACGAAGACAAAAGAGCTGGCAAACTGCCGAAAACTTTGAGAAGAAAGTAAAAGGAGGGGTAAAAAGGAGGAAGGATTTAATTGGCAAAAAAAAAAAGATGCAACAGGGACATGTTAGTCTAAATTGGTGTTTTTTCTTTCTTAATTGGTGCTTTTTCTTCATCAACATTTACCCCAGAGTCTCTAGTAATAACTAGTTATCTCTGGTGAACTGTTTGTGTTTGTGCCATGATTACTTTCACTCCCAATGTTTAAATACTACCCGCTCAACACATAATGTGGTTATAATTTAAGAGCTATCAACCTTTTAAAATTGTTACTATATTCCTGATAGCGAAAGCAAAGTCAGGGACGTCCCTGATCTATCTGTGGAAAGGAGTCTGCCACTAAGGCAAAACTTCAGTGTCTGTTATCACTCTTAATCCGTAAACATTGAAGGGAAAAAGGGGGACATCAATTTCAAGCTGGTCTGGAGAGTTTGAAAATGGTGATAGTTACCGTGTTGATGTAGGAGCAGTTTGAGGAGCTATTGGGCCCAAATCATCTCTGATAGGAAAAGGTGGAGCAGCATCCTGTCCTGCAATCCAGGCAACATCAGCAGAGCTGGTGAGTGCATCTTAAGTTGCTGACTGCCATGAATAACTTCAACCATATGAGAGAGTGATAGCGTCAATGTTAAAATGTGTGACATTTGCAAAGCTGAAGAAGGAAAAGAGCTGAAGGAGGACAGAAATGGCAACATAAATATTCCTGTTCACCTTGTTCAATGTTAACTTTAATGGAAATGTTCAATTTGATTTATTCTTTGATAGATGAGCAGCAAATGTTACATCCCGGCTGTGAATCGAAATGTTCAGTCTAATGTTTTATCATAGCCAAAGGTGTTTGATAAGATTCTGCTTCCAAAGAAGAGTTTCTAAGTGTAGGTATCATTTTGAAACTAAATTAAACCATTTTTGTCAACCTGTTTATGACGAGGTAATGAGCAGGATAATGAGCAGTATTGCTTTAAATGGTAGAGACTATTTTAAAGTGCTTTATTCCAGCATCAGAAAGCTCAATATCTTGAGAGTGCATTTAAATCAGACAATGTCAACACATGTACAGTTTACAATAATCGCTTTTTCATTACTACACAGTGCTGAGCAAAAATGACCTCTAAGTGTGATGTACTTATTTTCTTCTCCAGGGTGTTACAGGGAAGAACAGTTTGATGTCCTTGTTGAATTTAACAGTACAGAGCAGGCGTAGCCCACAGTCTTGGTGTGTATGCAATAAATATAAACAACAATTTTAGTCGAGCTAACAGCGTAAACATTTTCTAAAATCTTCTGAGTGGTGATAAAAAATCTCCATCTTTGAAGGCGTTTTGAAAACAGTGACTTTAACTCAGCCCTTTTTTTCGTTTTTTTTTTATTTATTTTTTTTTTAGAAATGTTATGTTAATGTCACATACTTGTGTGCTTGGGCCTCGAAACGCTGCTGCCAGGCTTCAGACACAAACAAAAGAGGGAATCATATAACTAAAGACAGTGCTTGCTATCCTTCACCAGGTGCCTCAGAACTGACTTTGAGATTGTTTCGAGAGCTTAAAATGTTTGGGCTTCAGCCTGTTTCTGTGAAGTGCTAACTCCGTACGAGCTTTACTGCTGCTTGAGGTCTTTCAGCAGAGCCCTACTCATGGATCATGAGTCTTGGCTGGTCAAAAGAGGTTTGCAGTTTGTGCTTCACAGCCGTGAAACTCCCTCCCTGAGGATGTCAGAGAGACAAACTCAGTGTCCTCTTCTGAATCTCTCCTTCAAACTCACTTCTATCATGCTTACATATTTGATTTGTTTTGATTGTTATTTACTTTATATATTAGTGTTTATGTATTGATAACTATAATCTGCTTTTTTTGATTATTATTTGATTGAATTGTTTTTATTTGCTGAGTACTTTGTTACGTATCTTGCAAAAGTATTACATAGGTGTGTTACAGTTATTGATGTAGCTTCCTCCTCTCTGTTCAAAGCTCCCGCTCCTTCCTGAAACTATTGTAACCTGAAGGTTCGATGTAAGGTGGTTGGATAATTCTGATGAGAAACAGCAGGATGGAGGCGGATAACTTTCTTAGCAGCACTTTTACTGTTCAGCCATCTTGTCATAACCACAACATAACCCAAAAACTTAATATCCTTGACAACCCTGATCACATGTCACAGCACTTACCAATCAGAGGCTAAGAACTCAAAGTAAACGTAAATGAACCTCAAAAACACATTCTGCAGAATCTGCTCACCCTCACTAACAGCTGCAGAGAAAAGCATTTCAACTTGTAAATATGTGAATATGAACCTGTCAACACTTTGTGAATAGTTCTCTGTATGAATTCTATAAACACTATTGTTTAGCTTAGTTTACTGTAATAATTAACAGGAATATATGAGTTGACTTCACTGTTAAAGCTTACACTATGAAAACATGCATCTACTCACATTTTTTCATTGGGATGTTTTATTTTACCAGTTGTGTCTTTGTACAAACTTAAAATAAAAGTTTAGTGTACATTGATCACAAGGTTTTTAAATAAGCCAATTTATCCACAGACATCTCCCCCTCCTCCATAAAATCAACACACCTCTATTAAAACATAGAAACACAAAATAAATCAGTTTTACTTTCAAAAAATAAAGTTATCAGTTTTGTTGACACTTTTTTTTTCAGACAGAGTGCTAGAGGGTTGTGTTAGCAGAGCTGTCGCTACCTCGTGTTCAAAGGCAAGTTTATTTCTGACAATGCTTTCCACAGCCTCATATAATAGAGATGATAATTAAAATCAGCAAAGACACAGTTTTAAACATTTTTGAGTCAAAGCAATCTGTAAATGTCTGATGCTAACAGAAAAGTTAAGTTTGTCGTTGCTAAAAACCCTGTTAAAGGGATATTCCGGCTTAAAATCATTTCCTTGGAGATGCAATCAGACAGAGATGCTAAGGCAGAAGAACTACTACGTCTGCAGTGCAAAATGATTAATATGGTGATTATTACTTCAAGGAAATGATAAAGAAATGATCATAAATGTTCTTCCTTGAGCTGTGTCACCCCGCAGCAGTCCGTAACGGACTGGCCTGAGGTCTCGCTACAAACAAGCGGCTGCTGGAAGAGAGTGGGTGAGTTGTGTTTAGTCTCTTTGCTAAAGAAATCAAAGTTAAAAAGATGTTTGGTGGCTAGTGCTATGGCTGGGACCCTATATGTACTGTTGATGAAGTTAGGTGCCGTTCTGAGCATTATTTGTGGCTATAGAGTGGCTTTTTGATCGAGATTTGTTTATGGCTCCTCAGACCGCTGTGTATCGCCATCGTGCGGTCTTTACTTAAGTTGGTATAACTAGAGAAGCAAGTGGTCGTCAACATTCATCTCTTGAGGGGTTGTCTAACTCAGTGTTATGGTGTGTTTGACCCTAAATTAATTTTACGCCGGAATATCCTTTTAAGTTACAAAAACAACACTTACTTGATGTAAAACACTTTTTAAAAAGTAGTAGGAAATGTTAAATAGAGTTGAGAGCTTTTGACTAAGTAAAATGAAACCCCTGCGTTCTAAAGCAAAGACATATTGCTTATAGAGAAATACCTGTACCACCACACACACACGAACACACACCTATCTACCTAATCACCTCCTCATCAGCTGGAGATGAGGGACTTAAATATATTACAGACAGGCTGATTTGACAGAATGAGGACCAGGCTGCAGGAAATTTGAGCAAGACAGATTTCTCCACCCACTTCCAGCTCCTCACCAACACTAATTATACTGACCCTCCACACGCACGCACACGTGCACGCACACTCACACACACAGATACAAGCCTGTGTTTGCCAGATCCCCAGTGCAAAGCATGGTGTGTTTGAACAAGGCAGCCTGTTAAAGTGTCTGATTAGACCCCTGTTTGAACAGGAAGCGACAGCAACCTATCAGCATGCAGCGAGGACCAGCCAATCATCGCCATAGCTCATGTGCTGTGGGCCTCTGCTTCTTGCTGGCTCGTGCACATCGTGCATCACGCCAGCTCACACAAAGACGAACACAAAGACACACTGGCTGACACATTGAGAAAGACGTCTACATAGAGAAGCAGACTGACACACCCACACACACAGCAGGTTTCTACCCATAATACATTTAGGCGTCCTCAGATGGGTGCAGAGAGAAATACCCAATTTACTCTGATTCGATTGATAATGACCTTCCCACTGTGAAGCAGGTGCAGGTCACTGTGCAAACAGCTGGCAGGCAGGGATGAGGCAGGGTTGCAGTCATATGCCTCTGCTTTTTCTTCATCTATTAGACTAATATTTCTGCTCTGAACTTGTTTTTTCACTTTCATATTTCAATATAGATGCAGAATGGGATTTAGACCAGAGCAAGGCCTGCACCATTAGAGAAAGTCTGCCATGTGTAGAAAAGTGCTGTCATGTAATCAGATTTTCACCTCATGGTCATTTTGCAATAATTATGGAAAAGTCGCCAAAAAAAAACACCTCCAGGAACTCATTGTCTCTACATTTTTACATTATTCAACCTGAAACACAGAGGTAGAAGAAAACGTTCTCACTCACTATGATTACAGAAATTGGGACCCTCTTTTTTGGCCTCAGTCCCAGCCCCATATGCTTGTCAGGATGGAGGTGGCAGCAGGAAGAGCAGATGAGGAAACAGCTACTGCTTTTGCCATTTCTTTCGCCTCACATGTGCTAATGAAGTTGTCACCATCACAAATTAATCAGCATTCAGCAGACAGTGACAGATGATGGGTGCAAACCAGGTGACGCCTTTTGTCTTTGTGTCTTCTTATCATTTTACGCTGACATTAGGTATGGATTACAAAACAAGTCCTACAAATTAAACATCAAAAAATGACATTTACGTTCATACTCCGGCTCAAGGATGACTCAGTGAGGCTGTTATTTGACTATTCCTACTAAAATCTACTTTAAAGTGAGATTTGTGCGCAATATGGGAGTTATGCAGCCCCTAAAAATGCTTTCACACAACATAAAAGCTGAGGAGAATTATGCAGTTGGTTGCAATCTGCAGTGTGTACAATCCTTTTGCAGTGGCACCATAACAAGGCTCCATTGTTGCACCACTGCGCACTACTGGTACAATGAACCCAACGGCAGCAAAACAGTGGTGACTCAGTGTGTGACTTCACACGGACTTACAGTGTTGATGAAAAGCAAAAATGGCATAATATGTGGACATACACAGTCATGCAGCATGATGACTCTGTCCTCTCATTTTACACTGAAATACAAGCAGCAAAAGTCTCATCCAAATAGACAATGTGAAAGGGGCTAATACTAGCTGCCTCTAAATCATACAAAGAGATGATGTGATGACTCTTTCTTTAAGGTTTGCATATGTTTAAGAATTTAACTCAAGTCTAACATCACTTATAAGAGTAGAAAAACTAGCAGTGGTGTAAAACAAGAGTTACCGTTTTGACCTAAATATAAGAAATACGTCTGGAAAAAAAGTGTGATCATCTTAAACTTGGGGTTTAGTGATTGAATACGAAGACAAAGGACAGCTTCACTTCTTTGTGAAACAAGATATTTAAACATTTTTCATTTTAGAGTGAATGTGATCCTAATTGTCTTTATCTTAATAACCATACTTCTGTCAAATACAGACAATATTGTGTTTCATCAAGTCTTTGCAAAATGTTCAACCAGAGCAACATCTCAATCAAAACCCCCTTTCAACACTGCTACAGCGATTTCCTTTGCCAAGTGTGTTTTGGAAGAAACACAATTTCTCTTTGGATTATTTTTCACTGGCAAAGTTTTTGAAGGGATTTGGTGCCAGAAACTGGGATTCATATTCTGCATCACATGTGCTGTGAGGTTTAGAGTGACTGCTTAAAGACAGGGTATACAGCACTTACTCAATATCCATGAAAGTTTTCTGACTTTTTGCCCTGCTCTCATTTCCATGCTACGCCATGCTTAAAAACTTGTCCAACAATCTTCTCCTCCTTTTTTCCTCGTAATTTAAAAAAAACCTTTTGGCTTCTTGATTGGGAGTTTAAATGTGATAGTGAATATTTTGCTCATACTATCAATGCCATTTTTTTCCATATAGTGTCAATCTATTTTTAAAGCTTTTGATCAGCTGCACAGACATTTTAAAGGGTTTCCTATAATCTGCATGAGCACTGGGAGGAGGTTTCTAGATGTGGGGGGGTTGGAATGACTTCTCCTTGACTGCAGCCCCCTATCTCTCTCTGACTGTCGTCTAGACCAGCAGCTGAGTCTCCGTGTCCCTAAACTCCTTAGTGCAGGAGAGACAGCCAGTCTGTCTGTGTCAGTAGGCGCTGCTCCACTCTCAGCAATGACCCTTCACATTTAGTCGTCCCCAGACGGAGCCTTTCTTAGCCCCTCACCACAGACTCGTACCTCTGCGCCCTTCTCACCTCCCAAAACGCCCACATCCACGCAGAGTCGCCACCTTGGTCTTTCTTTGTTTGTCACAAAGTCACCCCTCCCTGCATGCACCCTTTTGTTTGTTTTTCCCTCTCTCCCCTCTGACTCCTTAATCTCCTCAGGTAGCCATAGTGACAGAATTACATGTCATTTGGCCAAAATGCAGTCATTGTGCATCCATATCTTGGCCTCTTTCAACCCATGTAAGTGAGAGATCAGTCTTTCAATTTGTGTGATTGTCAGCTCAATCACTGCACCTTTTAATTGCTATGTCCATGGCACATGCAGTCGTTTTTCTCTGTCTTCAAGCTAAATGATCATTATTAGCTCGCTGGGGTTGCAGGGGAGGAGAGCTGAGCTAATGACTGATAGAAATCTCTTTGTTTTGCTCTTGTTATATACTGGCTGTAGCTGCAGGAGGAGGAGGCGGGTGGGAGGGTTTGAGGAGGACGAAGTGCTGCTTAATAACAGAATGATGGACTATCAAAGGGAGAATAATCACCATGCTTATTCAGGCCCTGCATTTTCAGGTCATTTAAAACTTTATCTGATGGGACTAATAGACAGCAGGCGATAGAGGCATACTAATTTGATTGAAAAATGTGCATAATTATGTTTCAATACAGAAACTTTGCACGTACAGTTGTTGAGTGATTGTAGTGGCTTCTCTTTTGTTATGCACATAAATTAGCCATTGGCTATAATGGCTTTGGAGGCAGACGTTTTGACAAGCACCTCTTGAAGCATTTGTCTCAACAAAGGGCACTTATCATGAGTGCATGCCTAAGTTTGACCTCGACCAGAGTGAGCTGCAGCCGGAAGAGTGGCAGGCGAGAGAGTAAGCAGGAGAAATCTCTGTAGGCTTGGAAAAAAAAACACAGTTTGGACAGCATTTACACCTAAACTCTCTCACGCAACTATCCAGCCTCTGAACAGCTACTCTTTAGTCACAGAGTGCGTGTGTTTCTTTGGCAGCACTCTCGAGTTGGTTAACCATTGTTACACAAATCTGTTATTGAATTTCTTTCTCACTATTGGCCTATGTACTGTGTCGTGGTGTATATTCTGTCTCATTGTGGTAAATCATGTCATTTTACTCAGCTCAGTAATCAGAGTCAGCTTCTTCAGCTTTCAGTGTCTCTTCATTTATTAACACTTCTGGCTCTCAGAGGTTTGTAAAATTTTGCACATTTTTGACCCTTAATTGTATTTCGTGTACATAAAACATTTTAATTGTAAAAAAAAAAAAAGGTATTTTAAGCCCTTTATATCAAATATTTAATAACATAAAAATAAAACTCAGAATTAAAAAAAAGATGACAGTCCTGATTTTTTTCTTATTCATTTACTAATTTATCAATTAAGTTATTTACTTATCAATCAACCTTTGTTTTTGTAGAGCCAACTCACAGCAAATGTTTACAAAAAGACCCGGTCTAGATACAACTTCAATACAACTACATCAACGTCATTCATTTATTTATCTATTTATTTATTCTAAAGACAATTTTGCCAGTTTCCTGTGGTGCCAGAATTTTTTACAATATTGCATGAAAATCATTAAACCATTAATATAAAACAGCTCCTGTGGGGAACTTTTGGTATGTGTCAATTTTGGCACCCTGTGGACAAAGCAGGATTTCCCTTTTTTGTCATCTACATACTCAAGTAGTGTCTTCAAACAAGAAAAACTGTATTTTAGGTGGAAAGTGTAAAAACAGGGCTGCTTCTTTAGCTGCTTGGCAGACACCTACCCCCTTGCGTTGGCTCCAGGCATAAAAAAAAAAAAACACAAAACAAAAATTATCAATATTGTTGCTGATGGTCCTGTGTGTTGTTATTATTATTATTTTTTTTCCGTATTACTATGAAAAGGCTTAAAAATGTTTGGGTTTATTCCTAAACATCAAAAAACTACACACAAGAGCTTTAAATCTACTTGATTGTTCATGAAACGGGCTGAAATGAGCAGTGATGCATTTTATGATGTAAAACAGCAAAGGAGACCATTTTCAACGAGAGTGAGATCTTCTACATTTTCATTTCTAATGCCTGTAATACTTGTGAGGGTTAGGTACACAGAAAAAAAACAGCCTTCGTTACTATTTCTACAGCAAATATTTAAAGTGATCTATAAATTTTACCCTAAAAAGACAATAAGAGGAACATTTGATAGCCAATCAGAATTCACAACAAACATAGTGATGGTGATAATAGTAAACACACAACGCATAGAGTCATGGACATCAGAAATGGAGGATAACCCTGTTCATTTGTCACAGCTGTGTTTCTGTAAACCATAGCTCAACCAAACAGAGAGGGGAAAGAGTTGAAAGAGTCACTACACGACTTGACATGTGAGGGTGGCTAAACAGCTTGCATTATTTAGCCTGTCATCTGCGTTGTTTGTTTACTCTTAAGTCACGTTTGATCTTGAGGGACGTAATGAGATTTCTAGTTTTGCATGTTGCAACACAGAATCTGTGTGTGTGTGGTGTGCTGTACTGCTCTCATTATACTGTAAAACAGGGGGGTTAAAAATGGTCATTATTTGTCACCAAGTGTTGGGTCCCTTACATTTTTAATGTGTGTTAAGATTTAAAGAATTTGAAAGTGTAGACAAAGATTCAGGGGAACGATCTTTGAGAGCAAACCGGTAAAACCAGCTGTGATAGTTTTTAATTCTGTTGGGGTGGATGTTTTTATCACATGTGTTGCTCAAAAATAACAATTTTATGTTTAAAATGTCTATAGCAACATCTCTCCCCAAGAAAGTATCCCTGTGCCTCACCCAGAGTTCATGAGAAAAGATTTTGGGGGACTATTTCCTCACTGAAAAGTACTGCAAGTCTGTTTTTCAGATAAAGTTGCAGTTTTTTTTTCAATACCACAAGCTTACTAGCAAAGCTCCATTCACATCCTTACTAAAACTCTCCTCAACAGATTTATCTAAACTTTGGGAGAGACGATTTGACAACCGAAAACAAGGAAGTCTTGCCTATATTGGACAAATCTGCTCTTTTAGGTCTCATTTGACTCGTGTTAATGAGTTTACAGTGCAGCTCTGAGCCCTGGAAGTCGACCGCATCATCTTGACTCACAAAGAAAACAAAAGAAAATGTGCTCAGTGAGTGTGATCTTTACACTCGGCCCCTCGATCACCACCAGCCACAGGCGAACAGAGGACGATATTGTGCCCCAGACGCAGCTGCTCCAAGGAGGGGAGTCTGCTTTTTCTATTTCCCCTTCACCAGTAAGAAAGAGCATTTGATACTAGTTCCCACAAACATTCACACACTTCTGTTCCTGTGAGTCTCATTCACCCACAGCACACACCCCACCCGCGCCTCTCCCCTGCACTGAATTTCCTGCATTCCCCTCTGCTCACATGCCACTCCCACTCTCATCCTTCCTACCCCACATACCCTGCACATGCCCTCTCCTATCCCTCCCTGTGGTCATCTTAACTGCCCACGCTGAGGAGCTGGAAGCATCTCTATATTTACTCCATCTCCACCCTGGCAGCCATGCATCTTTCATCTGCGGGGCTGGATGACCTATATTCTCAGTCTGGCCCCCGTGCAGCCATAGTTCACCGCTGCTCCACTCCATCCTGCTGCTCTCTCCCTCTCTGGCCCCAGGCAGCAGCAGCGGCAGCAGCAGCAAGCAGCAGCTGTGGGTGTGGCAGCCGGGCTCTGAATTAGAATGGGCACTGCATGCTGGCACAGACGCCCATTCAGAGCAATCTATCTTTGCTGTCTAGAGCTGGGAGACCTTTATAAAAAGAAGCAGCTAAACAAACACTCAGTGCACCAGGAAGACGACAGAGACGCGGGAACAGGCCCATACCCGTGGCGTTATAAATATTTTAAATTCCTTGTGTTTGGAAAGAGTGGCTCTTTAAGATTCTCTGAATATAGGTCAAAGCATTTCTTATAGCACATGACCCAGTTTACCTGTTTTTTTTTTTTTCCGACAGCGCTGTAATTGCATCCCCTAATATGATTCAACTAATTATCACTTGGTATAAATTTTCTGTAGATTTATAAATACACGGCAGAGCCGATCAAACAGAGTATAAGGAGGATTCTGTAATGAAGCTGATTTGCTAATCAACAATGCAGTCTTGATTTGCTGCTCATGGCCCTCGACACATTAAGTTTGTTTTTTTGTTGAGCGGTGAATATGCAATCACACTCCCTCTAATCCAGGTCAGTAGGCTAAGATTTCTCCGCGCAGCCGAACGAATGCGTCTCCACACTTTCTAATCACTGTTATCAGCGTTTGCTCTGAAATGGATCTGAATGTTCTCAGTTATACATAACATCAAAAACAACCTCCCACATCACTCAGGAAAGGTAACACAGTAGGTGTATTATGAAAAATTACCAAGTGTAATCTGTAGGAGGGCTTTAACTGTGGTGTTAATGTTAGAAAATGAGGCAGAAAAGATACCGGACTTGTCTTTGTTTCGTTACCTGACCGTGCACCCTGGATGAGACAGTGCCAGGTTTTGGCAGCAGAGAGAGCGCTGACACAGAAACACACAAACACACAAGCACACGCTGCTATGTTTAACTTGTTTATCCTGCTAACAGGGTTTAATCATTTATGTTAATCCACAAAAGCTGTTGAGAGGGTTTTCTCTTTTAAACAGATGTCACCACACTCTGCCTGTTTATATTTCTGCCTCAAAGTCCGCGTCACCGCACGACTCAGTATGTTGTTTATCCGACAGCTCGCCCGGCCATCTATCCATCTATCATCCATCCATCCAAAAGCTTTCATGTGAGTTCAACCTTGTGGAAAACAAGAGACTCATGTTAAGTGGACACTAGATAGCACAAACAGCTGCAGGCTGACTCCATGTCGATAGCTGAACAGTTCAAAACAATTTGTTAGGTGCATACTGTTTCCACATGAGGAGATAGACTGGCTCCCTTTGGTCTAATCCTTAAGAATTTCACACTGCACACGAAAACTGACTAAAACTGATCCTTTGAGATCCACCAAATGTTTGTACAAAGATTACAATTCAACATGAAGTAATGGCGTCAACATAGAAAAATACTAATCAGATGCTCCTCCCCCCCTTGGTAGGATTTGTATTGCTAATGTAGTCGCCCTCTGCTGAGTCACGGTCGTTCCCATACCCCGGGAAGTGACCTCTCTTTGAGTTGGAGACAGGTGTCTGACCCTTCCCCCCTAGTGGCAGAACCCCTCCGCCTGAATGTCACACACACACAGCGTTCACACACACGATTACAAGCACCGAAGGCAGCTTCCGGGTTGTGGGGTCACTGTGACATGCACAGGCCAAGCTGTCATGTCAAGCTTTATTAAGAGCCAGGGCGTCTGGGAGATTTAATTAGCGTGGTCTGTGTGAGGTAATTCCCTGATGCAGACTAGGTGCTGGGCTAAGGTAGAGGCTAATAATATGTCTCTAACTGGAGCAGGGCCAGAGCTGGGCCGTGCTCGGATAGAGCTCAGAGGATACCGGTGACACTCTGGCCAATCTCTCTCAGTGTAGATGTCAAACAGTTCACTAGTGGCTGAGCAGGGATGACCTGGAGTTCATGTGAGGTAAGCAGAGCAGCTTATACTCTCCAAGAACATTATGAGAGCTGCAATGAAATAAATATGCTTTATATGTGCAGTTGGTATTCTTTGAAATATTAAACTTGTTGATTAAAGTGAAGGAACTTTATAAAAGTGCAAAACATTAGAAAACAAATTTAGGTTTGATGCCCCACTGAGTAGATGTCAAGGGGTGACCCGGGGTATGTACCAATCCAAACACCTGCTGAACAAAAAGTTCTTAAAATCCAAGTTTCCACTTTCTGGAAACACTTTGAATCTCCAGTGAACTACAACAATAGACAAAGAGCAGGGATAAGACAAAAATAGGGTGCTGAAATTAATCCATAATGATCCATGTTGATATTTCGGCCCTCTGTAGACAAAGTCTTACATGTTCTCTATTGTCCTTTACATATGATAATAGTGTTTTCAAACAAAAACCTCACCCTGTTGTCTTTTAATGAGGAAATATATCACTCACTGTGTTTTGCTATGAAAAAAAGTCAAAAGAAGCTGTATTTTAAGCCTGCAGTGTTTTTTATCAAACAACAATTACTACACTGAAATTATCAGACATGTTGCTGATGGCTTTATTGGATTTGAAGATCATAAAGAGGCTTCATTATCAGTATCTTTCTCCCAAACTGTTGAAAACTTTTAAAAAAATCTGGGCTATGATTTGTAAAAGCAAAGTTTTATACAATCTAATAATGGACAAGAAATTGTAAGTGTTGTCTACCAATTACAAAAAGAGCTGGGACTTAAAAATCAAGATACATTCTGGACCAGGTACTGTGTGAGCAGGTGCACCCATGCTTAGCACACACAGCAAAAATAAACTCTTTCACATCATTTGTTCTGAATCTCTTGTGTCAGTGTTAGCTTTAAAAGTTTTGGTTTTATTCACTTTGACATTTTTGAAACTTCAGATTCTCACTTAATCCTAAAAGTGAGTGTGGAGGCTCTTTTTAGATTGAAAATTGAATTTTAACTTTCCAACTTCATAAGTTCCCCCAAGCGCTGTCATATTACTTAGGATAAACCACAGACCATACATACTGTGATCTGTTTCCAGAGTTTATCCCACATCAAAACAGTCTCATCTTAAACAGCTGTTAGTGTTTTATTGCCTTCATAATTTAGGGCGACTAAACATTTTGCAAAAACTTTATAGTCATATTAAAACAGATCAACTCAGTGTCTAACTCATATATGATACCATGCACACTGAATAACCTTTTTTTTTTTTTTTAAAGCTTGAAGTTGTGGAGTCATTTTGGCACAGCCTTTGAGAAAACTGAATTTGCCCAGTGGGGATTTCACAATAAAGTTTTGAACTTGAAATTGCTGGAACTGCAACAGCAGTCACATTATAATGAAATTGGACAGGCACTTTGTGTTACTGAGTAGCCGAGTGCAACAGTTCACAGAGCTATCAGAACATTTTGTTTTGGAAGTCAGACACCAACTTTGCCCCACATGACACTTCCATATTCAAAGCTGCTCCTCTCAGTGGTAGCCACTGCCACTCTGCTCCAAACAATCTGCTGATATTCTACCAGTGAATGTGTTGTTGCAGGTGATGTGGCTGAGTGTGTAACACATGCCTCTCTAGAGACAACTCCGTCTTTGATGTAGCTGCCAGACAGCTAGTTGGATGACTGATCAGCTGTTTCTGAAATGGGGACGAGAGGCTATCAGGGATTTTAGCTCCACAGTCACAGGCAGATGGTGTTGTGTACACATGCACACACCTTCACACACACACACACACACACACACACACACACACACACACACACACAAACACTGGCATAGACATAAGTTTCAGGAGACTGCAAAACACACACATGTACATTTACAACACGTAGGAACAAGCACTCACACATGCAAAGGCAGTAAGACAACTGCTATACTAACCAACACACTAACAAGCAGATCTATAGACACACAACATCTCTCTCACAAGGCAGCAGGTCCAGCATGACTAATTAAACACACAAACTCGCACACAAACAGAGACAGCACCCTCTTAGACATTGTAAATTACTGTGGCTATAATTGCATTAGTGCCGTGAGTAAATTGAATGGCTGCACGCTTGCAGACTCTGCAGCAGGATGGGGATGCAGGTCCCTCACTGTTTACTCTGCTCTGCTGCTGGTTGCCCTCCCAGTCCCTGCCATGTTGTCAGCTGCTCCGCTGTCACACACCATTACCTGCAACTAGCTACCATTCCACAGACACACCTGCAAGTGCTTACACACACACATAAACTGCACAGGCAGGCAAAAACAGACTTTTTGTAGCTTGTAGTGGAAGTTTATTGGACATTTTCCTAACTGTGTCAAGATGTAATTCAACAGCACATGTATTATTCACAGCCCTTTGCCAACTTGCCCATTTTTTTTCTTCTGTAGCTACATGCAGCTTAGCGCACAACACCTGGGAATACTAAGCAGTCAGCCATGCAGATACAGTACAGATGGATAACACTATAACACACATGGCTGCTTGTCGTTATGTCCAGAAACACACACACACGGACACACACTAGCAGCAGAGTGGTAGTAAGCTTAGCCAGGTGTAGGTGTTGTAAGCTTGAAGTCAGTATCAGGAGTCACATCACGTCAGGGGGAGCATCTGGTCAGAAGCTAAAGGGCTTAGCCAGCTGGACTCCTGTGACCTGTTAAACAGCGGATAAGCCCCTCACGACAAGTCACCTGGTAATCCTTATGCATGTAACCGATAAGATTAATAGATCAGGAAACTTTCAATTAAGCAGCAAAATTCTTCAAAGTTGTGCTACAGTTTAAAGTTATAAAGTAAGTAAAAAAGAGACACTCACTCCGGGTTAATTCTGATAGTCTGACAGTAAACAGTTCACAAGAAGTAGACTTAGCTTCAGGCTGAAGCAGCAGTGCCTCAAACTCCAAATCTCTCTAATGACTAACTGTGTGGCGGCACAACAGGCAGATGGTTTTTCTCCAAATTGGAGTTAGCTAGTGTTTCAATGTTTTAAGTACTAGCAACATTTTCCTGATTTGACATTTCAACACAGTCTGAGTTTTTTTTTTCTTTCAGAAATGCAGGACACCACTCTGGCCAGCCTCATGTTCATAGCGTGTTGTTCTTCACTCTCTTCTCCCAGTCGTCTACCTCTGAATGCAAGCATTAAAAAAAAATCTCACAATATGATCGAACTTGGTGCAATTAGCATTTGTTATGAACTGGATGAAGATTGGCTGATTGATGAAATATGATTTTCTGGTGTGGTTGACTAGGATTGAGGTGTGAAATTGATCCAAATATGAACACCTTTGGCTCTAGAAAACTAACCTTGATACTTCTAATACTTTGTCCTATGTTGCACAGTAAGGTAACCAGATTTCTGTAATGAAATCTGGGAACATCCAGAGGGTGGGGGTGCTAAGCAAGATGTGATTCCAGGCCCTTTATTTCTGGAGAGCAGGGGGGGTTCACAGACAACATCTCTGTACTACTTAGCAGCAGCGCAGACCCCCCTTGTATTAATACTGTTGTTCAAGACTTTGCGCAACATGCTTACTTGTGCTTTCTACCCACTCGGCTACCATAATAACCATTGTTCTAATCTACACACAACATTTTTGTTCTCATTCAGAAAACGCTTAAATCGGCTACATTTCCAGAGACAGCTTTAGCCAGGGAAGAGGTCATCCAAAATTGGGACTGTTGCACAGGGTTGTAACAAAGCATCATCATGCCTTTGCACTTTTACATTATTCTCCTAACAGTGCATTATTTGTGTCCCAGTGCATTTCATAATGCGTGATGGCGCCTTACATCAGTTAACCTGTTTCTGTCTCTCAGGGATCTCATGTGTACTCAGGCTCACTGAAAGAGACACAGCAGTTTGTCTTTAAGAGGATAGGAGGGCAGATGCTGCAGCAGCATTTCAGAATCTTCATGGTTCTCATGCTGAGTAGCAAGCCAATGATAGTGAGTGAACATAGTGACAACGTTTAGCTCTCGTTTGCAAAGCAGTAGGTACCGTAATAGACATACTGTACGCAAACCAAAGTGCCTTTTTTCCTGCAGGGGTCCTGGGGGACATCTCTGATTGCCCCAAACATGTTTTATCGTCCCTGGTATGTAGAGATGCCATCCGACTCGAGCCCCGCTGGCATCAGTTGAAAACATTACTGGATCAGTTCAGTTCAAATCTCAGCAGACATGTTTTTGTGTCCGTGCCACCCATCAGACAGGCGAGGGTAACAGTATTGATTTCAAAATGTAGGATGATGATTCAGACTAATCAAACAAAATGGGATGAGAGCTGCGTTTCATAAAATAGAAGCCATCTAAAGCTGTAGGGAAAAAATCCATACGGTAGGTGAGCTAATGGGAGCAGACTGACAGCAATCCACCAATGTGCTGTCATACTGAGCAGGAGTGAGGTCATGATACAAGAACTGTCCAATCCCATTTAGACGCGGGGTTCTGGGCTTCAGACAGTGTCAACGCACATGAGCTGGAAAGAGATCAAAGCAAGAAAGCAGCCACAATTACCACCACAGCCTGAGCTGGCTTACTTCCCAATGATTATGGTGCCATCTGATGCAGCTTGAGCACAAACGGTGGAATATATTTGCTTTGGATGGCAGATGATTCGGCTCATGGCCAAAAATTATTGATTGAATCAGGCGGTCTTTTGGGGTGTGGCAGCTGGGGTAGTTTGCATTGTTTTGCGTTTACTGCCACTTTTTACATTTTTAGAATTAATGCTTGTTTTCTTGTTGTAAGAATTGAACACAGAATCGGGATCAAAGACGTGAACTTTTGAGAAAGGCGTAGGTCTTCCAGGAGATAATGTTTTGGGGAGATGATCGCCACATTTTGCTGAAATCTTTTCTGTCTCCATGGAGTCTCATTTACATTTTTCTTCAAGATTGTCTCCTATGGGAAGACGGAGTAATTTATGCCTCTTGTTACTGGGCTGTCTGCTCCAGTTTTGAACTAAATATGCTATTGTGGTATGACTTTCTTTCTACTGCCATGCGCAAGTGTGTGTAAGTATGTGTGTGTGTGTTTGTGAAGCATCTAAAGGTGTCTTAATGCCTGCGGCAAACTGGCACACTCAGCAGATGGGGAAGAGACTGATCCCTTGTTTGTTGACAGTGCACTTAGCCGCACATGTATGTGCATGAATGTGTGTGTGCATGAATGTGTGTGTGCACGAATGTGTGTGTGCACGAATGTGTGTGTGCATGTGTGTGAGTGTTGCTTCAAAACCTCAGATCATAAAGCAGCTCCGGTGAGTTGTAAATAAACCATAAAAACAAGTTGCCCAATTCAAAAACCAGTCAGATCCTCTCACTTCTATATTTAAGTGTTTGTGCGTTTGTGTGTGAAAAATTGAGTTTAATACAGGGATGAATTATTCACCTCCATTGGCAGAATTCAATCTGCAGGAGTCAGAAAAAAATAAAAGCAAATCTGATGTGCTGTAAAAATAAAAACAGCCAAAGAAGCAGGCAGGTGAGTAATTTTAGTCCATTCATATTTATGCTTTTATCTGATAGAAAGAAACAGTGAGTCAAACACAGAGGCGGAGAGACAATGATGGAGAAACAGCAAGAAATGACGTCCATCATGAATGTTTCATAAAGCTCTCAGAACTGTGAAGGATTCATCCAGTCCAGAGGGAGGTCTCTGGCCTTCGTACCACTCCCTGCTCTTCAGTTCTTGGCTTCTATTCTTTGCCACTCTCTCTCTCACACACACACACACACACACTCACACACACATTCAGAGGGGTTATATATGAGCGTAGATAGAATCAGCTGCTCTGTTATCATCATCCGGCTTTTCATTTACCAGTCCTATTAGCCCCATTACCCTCTCAGCCAGACCCTCTGCTTGCCCTTCTGCTCTCTTTTCATGGTGAAAAACCGTGATTACCTCTCTGAAAACTCCACTTCTCCAAATGTATTCAGCTGCTGGACTTTTTCTCAACTGGCTAACATGCTCGCTTGCTAGTTGGCGGGCTAGCTATTGCTTCCTGGTGGCAACGTGTCCTCATGGGTCATTTAAGGCGCCTAAATGATGGATTCCACACTAGATGCGGAGCTGGCAGATGGCTTGGCCTCCACACACCCCTCGATGTGAACACGAGGGGAGGCGGGACGTGAACTGACAGAGGGGCTCTGTCTTACTACGCACCAGAGCTCAGAGCAGCCAGCGAGCAGAGCAGAGCAGAGCGGAGCGGGGTCCAACACATGCACATTACATACCCATACACACAGAAGAGAGATTATGAATAATTATGTTCAAAGATCCCTCATGGAGATCAAAGCAAGCTGGCACCAAATTGGTCACGTTCATTAGAGTCCATGTTTAATGCATGTGAGATATTTCCAAACTGTGCGGTGCAATATTCACCAAGAGCTACATGTCGAGACTGGCAAAGTAGATACAGATAATTATAAATAAAGCATGAAAAAAGTGTGTGTCTGTGCTAATCTGAAATTACATGATGGGCACTGGAGTCAAGCACCAAATGTGGACCTTATTCTAGAGTCAAAATCCATCTTTTTATGCCTTTTTGTCCTCTAAAGTTCCCTCTATGCACCGCTGCACCAGTACACCGGCATACAAGTCTGAGAGAGGTATTACAGGATTCTACTAAGACGATAGTACTTGAGAAGCAAGCGACCACTTTACTGCCAAAGCATGTTGGATACATAGAGGGAAAGACGAGTCTGGCAGCGTCACCTTATAACAGCTTTTCTCCCTCATTAGCTCATAATCATGCATTTAGAGAAAACTGTGGTATTCTGTTGAGTAAATGAATCTTGTGGCGTGCAGATTTAATTGAAAAGACTCCTCAATATGAGACAATAAATGATGCAAGTTTTGGCGGATTGGTCATAGACCGTCGGACGATCCCACAGATAAAGCTCGGGTTAGCTTAAGTTAATGTTCTTAAACTTTTTTTCTGTGGTGGTTCTTTAAATACAGACTGTGCGATTAACTTTAAAGCCACTGTGAGGATTTTTGGATAATAATGTCCATGATCCTTGTGGACAAAGTACGCAGTTGCAGTCTCTTCTTTTCAAAACTGAATGCATCAAGTTTTGGGTCATCATTTTTTTAAAGTTTTCATCCTCTTTCTCCGTCTTTTACTCAGATTATTAATCTCAAGTCTTTATCTGAACCGCTGTTGCCATAAAAATATAGGTATTGAGTGCAAAAAAAAAGGCTGGCATTTAATGCAAGCTCTGAATCTTGTGAAGCTGAAATTCTCATCTGGCTTTAGAGTTGTTCATTTTGAGGAGTGACACCTCAGTGCCTCCTCTGCTGCTTGGTACCAGGGGAGGAACATTGTCTTACACCTTGTTGTAACACAAAGTTATTGAGTTTGTGTTCGCTGAGGAAAGTCCAGAAAAGTTATATCATATAAAAAAAAGCAATACAGGGATAGAAACAGGCTGCAATCTGTAAGACATGATAGAAGAGAGAAGTAAATAAACTTATGTTTATGAAATACGATCAGGATTGATTTATCTTTTTATTACACATCATGTGCGTTCAACATCTGCTGCGCTTGATGTTTCCATGCTGCACGAGTAAATCAGCCCGAGGCAGGAGATCATCTCATCATGCTGTTTGTAATAAGTGTCCAAACGTAGCTGTTGGAGAGGTTGGAGGTCAGAGTTTTATATGCACAATGTCGGCCTTGGAGCAACAGGTTGCATATTGTACCTTTGAACATTTTCTCCATAGCTCCTGAATATTCTACCATACTCCCCCCTGATGATAAGATATAGAGGAATGAGAACTGAGGACATGGAGAAAAAGACCTCTGGAAGTCATGTGCAAACCAGTGTGGGATAGGAATATGGATCGTTTAATCTTGTATTGCAGAGTTACAAAGGCAAACAAACAGCCTGTTAAATCTTTAATGAACACAAGTATAGTAGTGTTGCTATCTGGCCGAGCTCGTATTGTTCCTCTGAAATGTCCTTTACAAACATTTAATTTAGCTGAACACCGCCTGTCCCTCTCATGGCTGAAAATCTATCCTACACACCAATAAAAAAGCCAAATGCCTTTTAAATGACAGGGGACGCTTTGAAGGGACATAATAGTCCCTCTTTAATGTACAAACGGACAAGTCTGATGGAAGCTGGAGATCAATAATAAATTAAAGACTGCTCCAGCCACTTCACACTAAAATGACTCCCTGGGGGGGATGCCAACAAAGTCTCTTTATCTCTTCTAAGGAGCTCCCCTTTTGGTTTTATCTTTCCTTACAGTGAGCTGTGTGCTACAGTGCAGGGACATACTCTGCTGTAAATGTTATACAGTTTGTAGCTTTTTTTTCCCAATTACTATCTCAAATAAATGTGATTGACACTTCTCCTGGCTGTATTTAGTTACAGGATTAGAATAGTCATTCATACAGTAACACAGTCTGACATTTTTTCCACCAATACGACTCATTTTTGAATATATAAAATACTCAGAAATCATACAGCTGATCAAAAGAAAGCATTAAAAGACTATATTTGTCTCATCCTGTACATGTGAAATAGAGTTTTCTGGCATTAACATATCATCTTTCTGTCTTTTAGCAGTCAAATGTTTCACTAACTTTGACTGTTTGATGTGGAGAAGTAAATAAAGGCTTTTCCTCCAGCTTTCTGTCAGTTGTCTGGTCTGACACCAACCCCCTCACAGCGGCTACAGGCATTAGAATCATGATATAGACACTGTCACTCTTTTTGCTTTTAGTGCTGTTTGCTTTTGTAGGACATCAGAGTTGATTTCAGTCTGCATAATAACCCACTACAAACTCAACATCATGTTTTCAGCAGTACTTTTGGTGCTTTTCCACGGAGGCGCCTGCATTAACAGAATGTACCACTCTGTCAAATTTAGTGTGGAGTGGATGGTTCCCCTACAGCGCCGTTTAAGCCCTACATCCACGTACAAATACTGACTTTTTTCTCATTTTGTCCATATTTCTGAATATTTTCTGGGAGCTCAAAGATATGGACCAAACGTTGCAGAACCACTGGAAACCAAAATCACAATATTAAGCAGTGAAGTCAAGCATTCACAAGCCAGACCAACAAAGCACAACAACAAAAATACTCCTGAAGATGTACAAGTTCCTAAGACACAGCTAGGTGGAGGTTGTACAGGATATAAGACAACAGAGAAGGAGGAGTGGAGGTCTGTGCTGGACTGGTTTGCACTTCAAATGCTTTGTTTGACATCCACCCCAGTGTAAGCTCAGAAAAGTGGTTGAAAGTATTAATAAATGTGAAAAAAGTCATATATATATATATATATATATTAGGAGCAGAGTTGTGCGCTCCTCCCATGAGCGCCAGCGAGGCAGGAGGTAAGGCAAAAGTACAGATTGTAATAAAAGAGAGTTATCAAAATGATGTGAAAATTGCAGGAAGTTCATTCTGTAACAAGAGGGAATTAAAAAGAAAAAAGCTCATTTTTAGGAGTGGAACATTTTTATTGAGATGAGACGTATTAATCAGGCGTTGTGTCGTGATTAAGCTCTTTTTCAGATTATTAGTGGAATCAAAAGCTCCATGTGAACTGATAAATGGCATTAAAGATGCTCTTTAAGTAAGTGTGAAACTGAAAGCTGATAAAATGATTATATGTTTTTCTACTTCTCCCATTTTTCTACTTGATCGACTCAAAATTCTCAGAAAGCTCTTTATTGTGTGATTAAAAGATGAGTGGGGGGGTTGTGATGAGGTTAAAAGATTTCCTCTTCATTCTGTCAAAACAACTCCTGACTGTCTGTGGTTTTGTATGTGGCCTCTCTCTCTCTTTCCACCTACCTGTCTCCAAGACATTGTATTCATATTCCAACCAACATGACAAGTTTACTCAAGAATAACTCTCTTTTCCTCTTGAATCTTATTATACATGGTGACATTTATTCACATACCTGGTGAGGGCCCAGTGGACGTGCTGGTTGTCTACCAGTCAGAGAGTCGGCAGCTCGATCCTCATCTTCTCCACGTCAATATCTCCTTGGGCAAGACAATGATACTTTAGTTTCCTTGAGGTTAATGTATCAAAATTAATCAAAAGTTTAAATTAATTTTAAAATCAGCACAAATGAACATCAAGGTAGTATATGATGGGGAATCTGTAGTGACAGCAGCAATTTTCAGGTTAGTTTGACTATATCCAAAACTGAAAAAAAAGTAGTCACTTACAACACAAGGTTTTATGGTTCCTAAAATCTGACCAAAATACAATTTATTCTTACCCAAGCCAATTGTATTTGTGCCAAAACATTACCAAAATGTACCCAAAGTGATTTTGCTCCCTAAAATTAAGCATTAGGGTGCAGGAACAGAAAAAAGGAGTACAAACAGGAGTCTTGATTGAAGATGTTGAATGACCATCAATCAGCAACCTCTGGTCTTTAGAAATGAAGCCAATATGGGAGCTAAAAACTGCAGTTCATTGTGTATCCAATAAAAACACCTGTAGCTACATACCATCCTAAGAAGTCAGTCTTTACAGCAAAAATAGACAAGTTTACAGCCTGGTTTTAAAATCCTTTTTGTCTGCATAGTTCTTTTTTTCTATCTGCATACACTATACAGGTCATACAGGCATGACGCACAGCTGGCTTGACTGACAGGCAGGCACACTGTGACTACTAGTAAGGAGGCTGAAGATTAGCCTCAACTCCACCTCTTAATGTTTTAAGTCAACAGAAAGTTAGGCTGAGTCAGCATTTTCCATATGACAGCCACCATCGATAGATGACTTCAAAACTCTCAGAAACCAAAGGGCTATGTCACTGAGACTACAGCCATGCAGTGTAGGGTTTATGATCAATGACAACACGGCCCTTTTGCTTGTGTGGCACTTACTCTCAGGTGACTTTGCTCCTGACTTTGGCAGCAGATAAATACAAGCTGAGGACAGTTTTTCCTACAGTGCATCTCAAAACCTGTCAACATCCACACTTCATACTGACCACTGCCTTTGATATACCTCCAGCACCTCACATGGATCGAGAATTCTGTTCTCTCAAAAAACTGTGGTCAGGACACTTAACCTAGACAGCAATTATGGTCTCATTAAAGCTTGATTAAGGCAGAGATTTGGTGAACTGCTCACTTAATTTCAGAGAGACAGGGGCGTCCCTGCTGACCAATCTGCTCCAGTATGTTTTTCTCTTCATGCTTGTTTTCTGCTGTAGTAACTTGTGTTTATTTTGTGGCCTCTGTGTAACTTTGCTGCTGGCCCTCTTCCAGGTGAAGTCTCTCCCTGAAGATGATAACAGGCTGGCAGGATGAGGGGAAAGCTGCCAGGTGGCCAAACATGCAGGGCTGAGCCCCTCTGAGTAGGGCTGATACAGGGGGCTTGCTCTGGTATTTGCCAAATGTATTACCATGGTGTTCAGCATGTGGTCATGCCAACAGCTTATTGTTCTGGTGGGTCAAACAGGCCATCTCAGCCCTGTCAGGTCTCTGCCTGCTAAACATGCCACATCTACATGAAGGGGGGAGATAAGACGGATGACAGGGGAGGTCATTAAAACAGGAGCAACATTTCTGCTCTCACTCCGCCTGAATATGAATCATGCAGCCAACTAAGAAATGTGAATGTGCAGACACTTCGATTCTCAGGAGGAGCAGCCTTCGCCTGTTGCTTGACGTGTTGGCTCTCTTTTTTCTGGCAGGAACCATTGAAATGCAGACCAAGGGGTGTGGATAATGGACTGTCCCACAGTGGCACAGTGCTCCACACACTCTGCCATTCCCTCAGACAGCCACTCCTGCTGTAGTCTGCACTACACATCCCTTCTTTTCAACCCTGGGGAGCCACTGGCAGGTGGCCAACCATCACTGAGTGTGTGAGGGACTGGATTTGTGCATGTGCGTGTTAGCAAGGGTATTTTTTTTGTGTGGGAATGTAGGAAGCGCTCCTTCGCCAAGAGCCATGCTTATTAATGCCCTACAGACTAAGTGCTCTCCCTTTCCTCTCGTTTTGCTCTTTCATCCACTCCTCTCCTTCTCTTCACATCTCTCCAGTGTTCTGAGTGGTCATTGCTGAGAGAGAGGGAGGAGGAAGAGTTGCTGAAAGAGGAGGAGGAGGAGGACTTGGGGTGAGGTGCTGGAGGGAAGTACAGAAACAAAGCTGAATATGAGAGGAAGTACACTCGCCGGCTTTGACAATCCCGAGATCTCCTGCTGCCTCCCAGCTGCCTCCTCTGTTTGATGCTGAGAGCGATCAATAAGGCCGACTCAGAGCTACGCCTCAGATTGTCTCACACCAGTCATGCTAACCACATTAATAATCCACCAACTTTCAGCATATTCAACAATAAAAGGACACAGGGCCTCTGCCAAGCACACCTGGTTACCTCGATTCAAAGGCCAGTTTTCCAAGTGTAACGTGAATGAGTCATAAACCCTCACAAAATCTCTTCGTTCTTTCTTTGTAGGATTTAGCTGAAGATCCCCACTGTTTTTGCTCATGGCCATAATGTTATTGAAAGCACTGCAACAAGCACACATGCACTTAAGTTTCCCATAATCTTATGATAATACAGTGCCTCGCATAAGCATTGTAACAGTGTGGGTCCACCGCACGCAGCACAGTGCCACGAAAGAAAAATCTGCCCCCGTTCATTGTGTGTTGCAACAGTCTGCTTCATCGCACAAAGCTTTCTGGGACACCTGGCAGCGCAGATTTGGCTGGCAGCGCCATTTTTTAACAGCTTTTCTCTCTCATTATGTCAAAATCATGCATAAAAAAAAACGTGGCACACTGTAAAGTAAATAGACCTTCCAGGGGGGCTGGTTTGATTGAAAAGACTCCTCTGTTTAAGATAACAAGTGAAGCAGCCGAGGTGGGCAGCTCATCTTTGGTAGAACTGGAGGCTTGTCTGTAGGTTAGCAGAAGATGGCAAAAAAACCCAGACTTTTAGCTTTCAGACCTTGACACAAACACTGTGTGAGGTTAGGGTGATTTGGACATGGTAACCATTGACCATTGGCCGGGCTTTGAGCCGGAGATTGAAGACCATGGATGTGTTGCTAGGAAACCGTACATCCCCGTAGCTTCTTGCCTACATGTTTCGCGGACTGTTTTGATACCTAGTAGGTCAACCAGGTGACGACCCAGTGGTAACAAGCTGAAAGGACCATGTCGCGACCTGCTGCAGGGGAGGTAGACATGCTTCAATACTTGCGCGGTGCATGTAAAGAGGGGCCAGGACAGAGGTCCACTTAATCAAGCTGTGACCGCAGCTCTACCTGATTGTGCATGTAAACCATAGACCGTATATAGAATGGACGCCACCTGCCTCCTCGCTGGGTGAAGCCGACCCGAGAACAGCACCCTCTGTTGATGGGCTGCAGTATAGGTCATAAATCGCACTAGGGCTGAAACGATTACTCGAGTAACTCGAGTAACTCGATTAATAAAATTCCTCGAGGCAAATTATGTGCCTCGAGGAATCGTTTAAATCCGGAACCATGTGCAGCGCACGGTGTTTGACACGGACGGTTATTTCTGTTGCGCAGCAGCGTGCTCTTTCCGCTCCTTCCGCTGCCGCGCGTTTCATAGACATAATAAAAGGGTAGACCCCGCTGGGGGTGCTGCGCAGCGAGAAATGCGGCCGCCATCTTGGTCAGGTCAAGTTTCCCATACGCTCCGGTCAATCATATTCATTCATTCAGCGATGCCGGAGCACTGTGCGGCGTATTCCTGTGCCAACAGGCGGACAGCAGAGAACAGGGCTCAAGGAATAACTTTTCACAGTTATGATTAAACCTTTTTTAAACAGTACACTTGACTGTAGAGTCATTTGTAGGCCAAAGAGGAAGACTATCGGTCAACTCCAAAAAGGAAACGGCATTTGCGAACAGCTAGCTTATTCACAATAATAGCAACTTTGGTCGATTATCAACAGATTTGCATTAGATTGAAAAACTTTTGTTTGAGAGAGGTTCTAAGAAACGTTAAGAAATAAAATAGAAAGAAAAAGGAAGAAAGTGAGCTCTGTTTTATTATCTGTTTTATTAAAGACTTCTTTGTGGTGATCTCCTGTTTCATTTTGAAGATTTCCTAAGGACAAAAACTTGAGGAAGAAGTGGGAGATTGCTGTTAGAGGGAGAAATTCGCAGCAAGTGATTCATCTGTGCTGTGTAGCCAACAAGCAAATTGATATGTAGTTTAGATGCTGTCCTGTCATGCTGTTCTTGTGTTTAAATCTTTTTGATATGTAGGCTATATATTTGTGTGTATTTTCCAGTTATTAAAATAGTGCTTCTATATGACATTATTTGTGTGTGTCTACAAATGGATAAATAAAATTAAACTATATAAAAACTTATAATCAAATCAATATATATTGAATTGGCCTATTAATACCGCCAGTTATTAATAATTATTGAGACATAGCAGGAACCTAGCTCTAAACCTAAATATATCCTTGATTAATTGTTATACTATAATACAGCCACTGCTGCCATGTTCTAAAATATCATTTTATTCATTCTGAGTATTTGAAAACGCCCAAAAAAAATATGGCCTCTATCATGCCTCTTTGAATGGCGTTTGCAGAGAAGAAAATTACGTAGTATTGAGCGAACTATGATTCATTAATGCGCTCAGACTTCATTCCGCCGGTTAAACAGCGGTGCAGAGTGAGGCGGATGACCGGACCAAGATGGCGGCCGCATTTCTCGACAGCGCCCATTCGTGGTAGCGGCCGATGCGGGGTCTATCTTTTATTATGTCTATGGCGCGTTTGGTTCAATCATGGAGGGAAACGAGGACAGACAGAGAGAGGAAGAAAGAGATGACACGCAGAGGAAACGGCAGAAAGTGTCTAAAGTGTGGGACCATTACACACTGAAAAGGAAAGAAAACGCCGTGCAGTGCGTTCACTGTAAGGCGGAGTTGGCGTTTCACAACAGCACGTCGTCAATGCTGCAGCACCTTAAAAGAAAACACCCGGTCCATGCATTAAGTCCGCTCTGAGGCAAACGTGATTCAATGCAAAGTATTACAGTGAGAGCAAAACATTTCTTATCCGATTACTCGATTAATCGACAGATTAATCGATAGAGTACTCGATTACTAAAATAATCGATAGCTGCAGCCCTAAATCGCACCTCCGCCAGCCATCCCCACGGAGCTGTGGACAAACTTTAGAAATGAAATGTATTACACAGAATATAAAATTTTCTCCCCCCTGGTTGTGATGTTGACATGTAGTTACTGTCAGACTGGTTTGTGCTCAAGTCCTCTTTTTTTCTGTACAGCTCCGTTTTAAGAAGTTATTAGGGGGTTCACGTTTTCTATGATTGACACCTGATACAGCCTATGGGCGTACGAAGATTGTGTAGCTCACCCAGGGGATACGCTGTTTGAGCAGAGCATCATCACGGCGACTCTCCCGCCGAATGCGTACAATGCTACTACGCAATGCTGGTTTCAGGAAATGGAGAAAAATCATGGAAATACTGAGAGCTTTTCGGCTTCAAATCAGTATACTGGTGGAAGGCAGAACCAAGTTGTCCATAGTATATACAGTCTATGATGTAAACACACTGAGTGAAGTCTCCTATTGGTTTCTGAAGTGGAGTTTTGAAGCCTGTCAATGGCTGTGGCCATATTGGAAATGCTGACTCAACCTAATTTACAGTCGACCTTGGAGGTTGCAAAGAGGTTGAGCTGAGGTCAGCTTTTAGTCTCCTTGTTAACTGCTGCATTGTGTCGTCTGTTAGTCAAGTCAGCTTTGACTTTACTTACGCAAAACTCTCAACGTAAAACCTTAAAACTGATGATCTGTTAAAGATAAATCTGCCCACTACTGTGTGTTTAGAAAGAGAAATAAAACCAAAGTGCTTTCTTGAACCAGACAGTGAATGTGTTTTGGGTGCTTTGTAGAATGGATGTAAAGTATATGTTGCTCTTTTTTAGCCGCCTCAAGTGAACCCTCAACGAACTACAGGTTTTAGTGCTTTCATATTGCATTTCTCCAGACCGGAGGTTACCACGGAGTGTGAACACAGCAGGTAGGCTAATGCTCTGGCACTTTGACTGGGATGACATCATGTCTGAGTTTCACTGCGCTGTCCTCTCTGCTTCCCTCTTCGTTGTTTCCACTGTTGTGTTTAAGTTGCAGATATGTCCCCTTACATGCTGTGGTGATATCAGCCCAGACCCCCTCACTATTTCCCATTTCTGCACATTGCACTCATGTGCCCCCTCTAACCTAAACCAGTAGACATGAAAATGTCAGGACCTCTGGAAATAGTCTGAAAACAGCCTGGAGTCCCCTCCATAAAAGAGTGGAGGGGGGGTTTCTGCTTTTTGAAGTGCTTTAGTTCAGTAATCCAAAGGTAAAATGCTCAAATAACTCTTTGTGACTCCTGGGTTGTAACACTGTAAAATCTGTTGAAGGCAAAAAGTGCTGTATACAAATATAAGGCAGGCAGGGTATGGAGCAATAGCAATAGAGGTTGTTCTTGTGCTTGGGTCTAATGTTATTCTAACAGTTCAGCTTACACCAGCTGAGAGTGTCATTACTCTATATGAGTGTGTTCTCCGAGTGTGTGTTAAGGTGGCTGTGTAATGAGACACCTGGGGCGAGGCATAAAGAGGCCCATAGCTGCTGTCGGAGAGACGGAGGGCAGTGAGAGCAGAGCTGCTTTAAGCATATTTAAGGGCACCATAAAGTGAGCTGGGCCTCTTCCATCTACTTGATATATAGCAACAGCTCAGTCTTGTTGTTGTTTCCTCTGGCTGGACTTCCATCCTTTTACCCATCTAGTTTTCCTCCTCATCCATCCAAGATTACCTCGCTCTCTTCCTCTCTGTGCTGCCCTCCCTCCAGCGGGCGTGAATGGCATTGTGCCACCTTGCCCCCTATGAGCTCTTGTCTGATTAAGAAGACAAGGTTTTTGTGGCTATGGCATCTGGCCGGGTCAGCCCACATATGAGAAACAATGGCGTATACATTCTTTGGGGCAGAGCAAACACAGAGAGACGCTCCTACTGGACCTTCCTGAAAGAAGCACATGAATGCAAACAGAGCCGGCACTGCAGAGTGGACCCCCTGAATGAGAGGTCCTGTTTGATTTAATCCCAGCAATGCGCCCTGAACCTCACGCACACACAGATTTCACAGGCATTACGCAAGGCTGCTGTTTGCACTGAGGCTATAACACGATGGAGAGAGGTAACCCACTGAGGATGCCAAAGGTTTGGATTTTCCCATGATAGCAACCCCTCTCACTGGATAGAGGGTGAGTAACCAGGAAGGAATCTGTCCCCTTTTCAATGGCCGCTGAAAAGAGAGCTGTGAAATTGTCCGAAATTTTCTCTGTGTGTAAACAGAGGAGCGCGGGGGGAACCCGCGGACCCTGCCTGGGCTAGACTCAACTGCTTCCCTGGACTCTTTCTCTTCCTCTCTTTCACTCAGTCTGTCTTTGCCCCTCCTCTCTTTTTCACTGCCGGCTCCTGTCTCAAATTAATTTTCTTTCTGTCTGTCCCCCTTCCCCACTGTGAACAAGTCCCACACTGCGAGGACACGGGAGCATTTTTGCACGCTTCTCTCAGATGGCATTAATTAGTTTTGAGCTCTTTTTATTTGGAGACAGATGCTAAATACTGTTTTTACCTCCAAAAGCAGATTCCTGCCTTTTGAATGGAGACCAAGAGTGAAGAGACACCTGTCTGAATGTATCTTTTCTTCTAACTAACCTCTCCTGACATAAAATGTTAATAAGAGTCGGCCTGTCGCCCCGGTAGAACAATTCGAATCATCTTCTTCTTTTACTGAGCGTGACCACATGCAGGAATTTCCCCTAAACTTTTTCGCTGGTTGCTAGGTGACGGCTTCAGCTCCTGCGAGCATGCTGTGTGAATGGGGAGGGGGTAACTAATGTCTTCACCCAATGACCACGCTCTCAACAGACTGCTCTTGTCCAGTTCAAAACAACATTATGCTTCTTCCTCAATACAATCAAACACAGTGCAGTGGGCAGGCTGAAAAGCACTAATACTCAACATGTGTTGTCTGATGGTTTCCAAAACGAGAAACTCTGACAGTCCAACGGCCCTCAGACATGGACGAGTCTCATCAGAGTGCAAGACAACTACAAAAATATCACCTATTTTTGTTTTTGTGCAACAGATATCTTGGTATTTAAAGTGATGAATCTCTTTCTTTTGCACTCCTGATTCAGCAGCTGACAAAAAGGTTATAATTAAAACTGGATTTTTGCTTCAGAATCAAACTGCCTTTCCAATAAATGGCTGGTTGCTTCCTCATCTCGGTCTGTTCAGCATCGACTCTGAACTCAGTGAGTGAATCATGGAGCTCTGAGGTTCATCGCTGACTCTAAAGCCCTCACTCATCGCTCTTGGCTTTAGGAACATGTTGGCTGGTCGTCCTCATCTGCATGCTAATGCCGAGGTCAGACTTTCCGATCTTTCTGTCTGTCACTACATGTGTCAGATTAGTCTGTCACAGGACCATAAGATCGTGCTGTGACTTGACCAGCACACACGATGCGACACTTAACTGATCAATGTAATGCTGTTGGAGGGAAGAAGGGCTGGGCCACACAACACCCAGACATGCAAACTGCAGTTACTCACCAGGTTGTTGAAGTTCGTCAGCTACTTGTCACCAACATTTATCTTTTTTTCAGTGTCGCCCATCGATGACACATCACAAAGGCAGGGCAAGTTGAGCCTTGACCCAGGGCTTGACGAGCTTTCCTCTGTCTCATAGTTCAATCTTGCTGTGCCAGCTTCATCGTCCTCTTTTTGCTGTGCTGTTTTGTTTGGTTACGGTTGAGACGCCTACATATGGTCAGATTGGGTTAAAATCATACTTAAAGGGATATTTCAGCATAAAATTAAGTTAGGAGATGAATGTTGCCGACCGCTTGCTTCTCTAGTTAAACTAACTTTAGTAACGACCACAGATAGCAATACAGAGAGCCACGCGCTCGACCAAAAAGCCACTCTAAAGCCACAAATAATGCTCAGAACAGCACCTAACTTCATCAACAGTACATATAGGGTCCTAGCCACAGCACTAGCCACCAAACATCTCTTTAACTTTGCCTAATTTCTTTAGCAAAGAGACTAAACACAACTCACCCACTCTCTTCCATCGGCAGCTTGTTTGTACGGAGACCTCCGGGCGAGTCCATCAACTGCAGTGGGGTGACGCAGCTCAAGGAAGAACATTTACAGTGCGTTTGACCCTAACTTAATTTTACGCCGGAATATCCCTTTAACATAGTTCAACCTGGGCTTGTAACACAGGCATAGAATTATTACTGTCTTTCTAAGGGTATTTCACATCTAAAAGACCACTGTTCGGTTTGGTCCAGGTTGAAACCACCTCTCAAGACTAGTGGATTTAGTTCGTAAAAATTAAATGCCATAGTGTGTGCAGACAGAAAACGATGTCTTCCTTCCGCATCGCAATGTGCAAAAACAGTGATGCTCATGGGAAATGCGGTCTTGATCTTGAAATAAACACCCCTGATTCATCCAAAGGGTCTCAAAAATCAACATGGCATTAGAGACCCTCACAGTTTGGACTGTTAACATCAACTTAAAGATGTTTGTTTTCTCAGATCATGAGGTCAAAGAGGAAAAACTATAGGTGTTTTCAAACTTTATGATCAAAAGACAGACAGTGAAGAATAGGTGGTGTATTTTTTCTGACAGGATAAGATCTGTAGACATAACCGAAAAAAACACAAACAACCTGTGAAAGGAACTCTTGGGTGCATAAAAATTGTGTTTCAGCAAGAGGGAAAAAAAATAACCTCCAGTAAAGCGTGGTATGTGTGCGCATTCAAGCAATTTCTGTAAAAACTCCTCATCTTTATTCCTAACAGAGCCAATGTTTTGCCCATTTGCTTTAAAACGTACATTCGTGTCAAATGAATGACACTATTATCAATCTTCCTGCCAATGTCACAGCCAATGGCAAACCACCTTCTGCCTCTTTTTAACTCTACTATTTACAATCAGAGGAAAAACAAGTGCTGAATTACAACTCTGCTCATAATTTTGGTAAGGAGGCCCGTTGTTCGGTCTGCCCTCTTTAAATGCATTTAATTCATCTTAACGGAATAAATATGGCAGGGCGTACGAGAAATGACTCAAGAATTAGGGCCGTGCTCCACCGCTAAATCATATTTTAGTGCACTTACAATACCTCTAAAAGCTTGCTGATTTGTCCTCGCAGCGAGAGCGATGGCTCGTGGGACTGAGAGGTAGAAAAAAACAGCTTGAGACTGCTCGTTACAAACCTTTAAACCAACCTAAAAAGCCAGATGCTCACGCTAAAATGCGCCTTCAAAGTGCTTCTGCCATCATTTTTTTGTTCCAAATGCTCAGGAGGCTGAGTCTCAGAAATGTAATACCCATATTCTCACGTCAAATGTGCCTTCAGGAAGTGAAGGCAGAGAGTGTATTTCAGACTCTGACTGCTGGATGGACAGCTTTTTCTTCTTGATTAATACCATCCGTGGTTAAATCAAAATCGAAAAAGGAATTCTTGACATCTCTCTGTTTCAGGACACGCGGCTTAAGAGACTTTTAACTGATGAGGCAAACAAAATCACCCCCGGGAATTCTCGTTTTTCAAACACAGAAGACGAATGTGTCTTGGTTTGAGGCATCCAGGTCTGTTTTTTTTTTCCATAAACAGCAATTTGTCTGGGCTGTGTGCCAGTAATCTTTAATACTAATGGCTTAACTCAGCTGAGGGTGTGGTATGCAAATTTTCAAGATGTTCCTGTGGCACACATTGGATTTTAACCACATTTTCATGGTTGCAGCTGAAATAGTGAGCAGTGTTTTCAGTCAGTAATTAATAATTAACCTTTTATTAGCTCACTGGGTTAAAACTACTACGCTGTCCAATTCCCTTTAGATTTAACAGCTGAGTTTCGACTGAGTCTTTGGGGAAAAAAGTCAATATTGAAGGTCTTTCTGGAAGGAGTTTGCACATTAAAAGGTCAGTTATATCCAAAGCCATGACAGATATTTGACAAAGGTTTCCAGAATCATCTCAATAATACATCCATCATCTACATCACTTGGACATGGAGGTTTCTCTGGGCCTCGGAGGGCTGATTTGTGTGGGAGGCTTGGCAGGTCAAAGGTCAACCACAGGCTTTAGACATTTACATCTTACTCTGCCTTCTGAAATCTTGCAGCTTTTGGGTTTGATTTAGTTTTATTTGGTCAGTTCCTTGTCTGGCGCAGTGCCTCTAAACCACTAGTTTTAAAAGTGACACCAACACCAACACCAAGTTTATAATCACACTCCGAGGGAGCATTATTACAGCGTCATTCGGTTCAGAATAAAACAAAAATACAAAGCTGGCACAACATCAGAGCTCCTTTATGGGGTTTATTGAACTATATGATAACAGTTGAGTCCCAATTCAGGGGCTTCATCCCTCAAAGGGTGCATTAAAAGACTGATTATTTCTCAGCAGTGCAGCAATGGTTGTCCTAATTCAAAGGCTTCTTCAAATGTGTCTGAATTTTCTCTGGCCATAAAGGATGCATCAGGCTCTTCGGGTGCATCCTTTATGGGCCAACTTATCCTGTACAAGATGGCAGGCTCTCACTACCTGAGAAATACAGTATTAAGAGGAAGTCTTTAGTCATATTCAGTCTGGCAACTAGCAATACAAACATTAAAAACAAAAGGAGCAATGAAACTTGAAGTGATCTTTAAAATTAAGAAGCTAGATTATGTGGCTTTACTGATGATAGCTGGTTCCAGTACGGATTTAGATTTCTAGAAGAACAAAGTGACACTTGGCAACCAAAGTATGATGGTAGAAATGGCTGGTAAACTTTACAGGAAACCTTCTGTAGACCAGACTGTCTCATTTCTTGTTTTGCAGACCAACAGTCGAGACACAGCTTCAAAGTCCCATTTAGAGGCCACTAAACCTATTAACACTAATGAGCATGAACAAGTTAAACTTAGATATCAAGATTATGGAGGAATAAATGCACAGATTATAACAAATGTGAAAGCAGATGGAGAAATTAAAAGTGTTTAGATTTTAATATATCCCTCACAGATAAAAATAAACTGTATTGAAATCATTTATTTGCTCTTTGAGTTTTATAACCCTGTTATTGTGGGTTAAAATAAGTCAGATCTAACAAAAAAAAAATACTTGAACTGGCAACTTCTTTAACATCCTTAACTTTTTTTGTTACAGAGGATTTTGTCATTTTCTTTTAATCTGTCTAAAGAAATTCGGAAAACTCATTCCTGCTGGGTGGAGGGAGCTGGATAGGGCTTAACTATTCATCAAGTGAGTGTTGTTAAATGCCACTTCATATTCAAACTATAAGCCCTTTTTTATTTCGTCTAAAAAAGATTTAAAATCCCAAGGGATCTGTGGGTGTTTGAGAAGCAGACGGTTTAATGAAAACTTGGTCATTTTATGAATTTTAACAACATGCTTCTTTTTGTCCTCCACAGTGTAAGCTGATGTCGATATTGTATTTCCAACCACATGTGAACTCATGATGTTTTCTTTAAATGTCTTTGTCAGAAGTGCTAACAGGGTTCATCAGTATCATGCAAACTTCTGATTAGCTTGTTTCATGCTCTGATCACTCTACATTTCCTCGCTGAAACTCGTCCTCTGAGGGCCCATATGGTGGCCACATCCAGCTGACTTTAATCCAGACTCCTCCTCTAACTTCTGATATGCTTATTTTTCCTTCTCTTATCTCAAGAGTTGCTCTCTATAACAACATTTTTTAAAGCAGGCATTAAGAGGCTTAGCAGCGGCAGTGCTTTAGCAGCCAAAAGGTCACTTTTGCAAATTGGGTTCATTAATCTTCTAGTGTATGGCAGCCCCAATGGGACACTCTTCATACATATACGCAGATTAAAATGAGGGGGAAAGCGCCAAAGATTAGCCCAAAAAAAAAGAAACTCTTGGAATGATAAAGAATCTTCAGACGAAGTTGAGACTATGCTCTCTAAAGTCAGATTGCCAGTTTCACTCATATCAGAGGGGGAGAGAGAGCGCTGCTCAGTGAGAGAGGGGGGATATATGAGCCTGGAGAGGAGTTTGACTGAGCTGTGATTATACCATCATAGATGATTATAGTTAGGCATTCCTCTGACCCACTGCCTGACAGAATCCCTCACTTTTCCCTCCCCCCTTTCTCTCTTTTTCTCTTTCTAGATCTCTGGGTGTGTGCCAGCTCCCCCACAGCACTCCAACACCTGCTCAAGCAACAAGAAGTGCTATGAGCCCCTAGATGCTGCTGCTGCTGCTGCTGCATGCAGGTAAGGCTGTTTTCTAACAGAGCTATGGGCTGCAGAGACAGTGCAAGACCTGTGTGTGATACCTCAGGTACCAGCACACCACCAAAAGAGCAAGAATAAATAATAATTTACACGAGAGGTAAAAGGATAGGTTTGGAGCAACGGTTGCCAACTTTTTGTCTGATGCTGTCTCATATTTCTATCAGATCAGCCTGAGTGTCCTCTTTATGCTCCAGGTGATTTAGAGAGGATATAAAGTAACAACATTTAAAGAAGAAATCTGCATTTTCAACAAACATGATCCCGCTTTGACAAAGCTACAAATGAATGACATAATTAATACGCCACAAAAAGATTGTTTTATTGATTTACAAATGACGTTTTTGTTCGGCTAAACAATATTCACATCCAATTCTATGTTTCCATGGAAACAGATGCTCATCAGATGAATTAATACTGAAAAATTCAAGGTCTGGTTGAAACATAAGCCTGCTACTTTTATAAATTACATCAAACTGAACATTTCTATCAGTGGTAACATTTATTAGGGTGATGAGGATGTTTATGTTGACTTCATTTAGCTGTCCCTCACCGTGAAGATATTTCAACACAGTTGCTATTATCACTACCACTGATGGTTGAAGAGACTTAAAGATGCACTCACCAGCTCTGCTCCTGGTCCCTGGATTGCAGGACAGGATCTTGCTCCCTGTTTCTTGATCAGAGATAGTTTAGGCCCAGTAGCTCCTCTGTTTGCTCTCACAGTAAGTTATTTCCTAAAACAGAGAATAATGTTTTTGTCACAGTGTCAACCGGCAGATGTGAAATGACCCTGACTACCTTGCATGGATTTATTTCCTATAATGTGTGTTTGATTAGCACTGAATGTACCTGGTATTAGCTTACATTTTAAAAAGTAATTACTGTTATTACAGGTTTTTGACCAATCACATACTACGAACATATTAACTTTTGAGTATACCACTGTTTGCTTTAAAGCTCCTGTGAGGGTTTTTTTTTAAATGTGATAGACTAAAATGCATTTTTACCTTTTTTTTTAATAGTTACACAACAGCAAACAAACCCATTAGCAGTAGGACTGATGGTTTTTGGATTGTAATTTTCATGCCTCAAACAAGCACAGGGGGAAAGTGTCAGATAAACAGCTGAACAAACAGTCCTGTTTTTACAAATTTTGCTTATAATTTTACGGTAAATTATATACTTGATTGTCAGAAGTCATCAAGACAAGATTTTTTGTTAGAAGTCACTAGTTAGGCACACAAAAGTAGATTTGAGCATAGACTGCTGTATCCACAGGGGGCGCCAAAATTGACACAAACCAAAAGTTTCTCACAGGAGCTTCAAATGCATGATTTTTATATAATGGGGGGAACAGCTGATAAAAATAGGCAAATTGACAGTCATATGTAGGATGCACAACATACTGCAATCATATTTACAGGACAGTGTTGGCAGAGATGCACCATGAAATTCAACAATCAAATAAAAATTCATCGCTGCCTTAAGTTTCAGTGCTAATGTGTGACTGTGAGATCAGGATAATGTTTCTAACACTGTGTCAAAACTATTATAAGGCAACTAGTTTAAAAGTCTACCTACTATTTCAGACTTGCTATTGTAACCTTTTCTTTTTCCTTTAACTTCTTGAGTTACTATCTCACTTACTAATGAAGCATCTCGCACTCTCCACACTTGGCTTTGAGGCGCTACAGCTGAATTTCAACATGTGGGAAATGTACGAAAAAGCACACCTTTGGTTTAATTAACTATATTGCTTTTTCACTTCTGATCACATTCAGCATCTCCGTTATATCCACACATTAAAGGCAGAGGGTGCTAGGAAGGGTACCCCTATTAACTTAAACTATTCTTACACCAAGAGTAATTTGTGATTCAGTGCCTGAAAACACTTTGACTGGTCATTACAGGAGCTCAGATCTGACTGCCATCCTCCTGATAGAAAGAGGAATAACTCTACCACTGAGCCACGGCCGTATAAGATGGTGTTTAACTGCATAGAGGGAGAGTAGATTAAGAATAAGAGTAAACATTTTTAGAGATTAGTTTGAGTTACTTAAACATTTTCCACTTCCACTAAATGCTGAATCGGGGAATTCAAAGTCCCCTCATTCGGAATCACTTGGACAGATTTCTAGAACTACCTCAGTGGCCAGCCTTCTTGTTTTCACACGACAAAACAAGTTTAGTTAAGACGTTGTTCGCTCTTTCATTGTCCTCATAAACCTAATCCAACTCCATTAAACTTTTACTATATCGTAAAAGTGAAGCACATTATCATAATATTGTAATGACCACGCTCTGAGCTCTGAGGATGCTGGTGAGTGTGTCATACTTCCAGCATCATTATTGCCGCCTTGACCCTAATCACTCTCAGGCAAATGCCAATGAAAGGCTGCGTAAATTAGATCTAGGCCTTCTAATAAACTTAATCAAAATTTCATTTATCCGTTTTGTTCTGACTAACCATCGTCATAGTCCAGATGGCGTTGTGTGTTTTCAGTCTCTGTTCAGCCATCATGATGCTTATTAATAATTGATGTCTCATAAATGACTTATCAGCTCCTTCTCAACTCCTCTTTTCTCTCTTATGTTATGGTCTCCTGCACGCCACGGACGGCCGGCGTTGGTCCGCTAAGCCAATGAAGAAGCACAGCTGCTAAAAAGCCATAAAAATCCAACTTTGTTATAAATGGTTTGTTTTGTTGCTCGTGGTAATGCTTTTGTTAGATGGTCACAACACCTGGATTTTATATCAAGCCACATTTCAAATAGTTAATGTGTTTTTCTGCGCAGATAATAAAACACGGAGGATTCGGGCTATGACAAAGTAGACATGGCTCACACAATGAAAATTATTCTCACCTAAACATCGTCATTAAGGAGGACTTTAAAGCCTCTAATGAAACTGAACTCATAAAGCCTTCTTGTAATGATCAGTCGGGATGCAGATGGGATTTGATGCTGCTCACACTCTCACATAGACACAAAGGCACAAGATGCACACTTGCATTCAGAATTCGTATTTCATATTCTATCCACTGGGTGTGTAATGACGCCCGTTATTAAAGCGGGTAATTGTCTTACAGTGGTGCTGCGTTATTGGATCCGGGGGCAGCTCTGCAGACACTCAGATGCAACTGGATGTAAAGTCGCTGAGCAGTGAAATAGGGAGCAGGGCTAAGCACGCACACACACACACACACACACACACACACACACACACACACACACACACACACACACAGAAGATGGTATCAGCATCAAAGGGAGATGCTCGCATTGTGCTGTGTGACCCTTGTGAATGGCATCCAGCCCACCTGTTACCCTATCCCCCCTGAGACTCTCACTCACTCTGTCCCCTGGCCTCCTGGAACCAGACACTGGGTCCATGTGATTACAGCCGTTTCTCTCGCAGCAGAACATCTCCACACAAAGACATCCAAAGATAAATAGCTAATCTGTTCTCTCTCGTCGGAAGACCTAATATGAGTACAGGTCATAATTCACAGAGGAGGGAAAATGCTTTTCTTCTTCCCTGACAGACTTATTTAAGTCTCCAGGAGTCCTTTTATTCTGTTAGCTGAATACTGAAGCTTTCCAAAGCAGAATATATCCCCCTGCTTTTACCATCACTTTTAACTCAACCCTGCAGTCAGACTGCCAGATTTGCCATTAGGCTGCTGTCGTTACATTTCTAATCTGCTCTGCCAGACTCATCCCCGTATTTCACATCTTACTTTGTCTTATTCTTCTTGGCATTTTAATCCTCTGATGAACCCGGTCTAACAATCTGAAGCAGTAAACACTTTTTCGTGTTTCACTTTTAATCTGTAGTGTCATGTAAATCCAGACTGGTTAAGACTGGTTAGAATTGTGAAACAGACTAAGTTGGGTTAGGTTCAGACACTATGACTGCTTGGTTTTGTTGATAAAATCATAAAGGTTTAGGTTAGAAATAATAGTATAGACCCATTTACAGCCTACATCATCAAATATGTGCATTTTGGCAATAGAAGCGACATCCTGCTACAGTCATACGGACAAGATTGTAGGCTGTAGACACCAAATTAGAATAGTTTCCAGCATCAGAATATCTGCTTGTTTCAAGGACTTCAGATTTACAGAATTCAGGCAGGATCACAGTCATATTAGAGCGACCAGTGTTTCCATTTAAAGAGTGACCCTGAGAGTTAAATGGCAGCTTTCAGTGGAATCAGATACTAATGTACTCAGCAGATAGGTCATTGGTAAAAACTAAAAGCGTCTGTGAGCGACTCGTTCAGCTGGAAGTTGCCGGTTAACAGGGTCACTAAACGTGATGACCATATTCAACCTCAGCTCAGTCTGGTTTTAGCTGCAGGTTCGTAACATTTACTGCTGAAATTCTGAACCCCAGGTGTGACTATGTGGGGTTCATCAAAAAGTTGTTTTCAAGTAAGATGATCGGGACTTCGAGTAACTAGTTTAAGTTTGAATTGTGGTTCAAAGAATCACATAACTGTGCTGGCTACCACGCCAACTACACAAAATGATTATAACCCTGATTTGCGGCTGCAGTTTCCTACTAGGGTGAAGTTTTCTGTCTCATTGATATGACCCAGGTCTTTAAGGTAGTGGTTTTGTGAAATTTAGGAGGTTCTCTGATGTGTCCGTGTCTTAAAATCTGTACATAACCACAGATAACACAGACATAAGCACGGAGTGACTTTTGTGCTTCAAGGTGTGCACTCCATGTTTCTCAGCCTAACACATCTGGCCACTTAATTTTTAACAACTTGATAATGTCTGTTATCCACCTGTTGATATCACACAGATCTGGGAGTCATTTCCTATTCATCAAATTAGTTTGTTTTCATAGTAATTGCAGTCTTTTGTGGTTGATCCTCTTGGAAAGCTTAACAAACTCTTGCACAACTGCGCACACACTTCAGTGTAAGTGGCTCTATTACAACAATCAAATTAAATACAGTAGAGAGTGATCTTGATTAAAGGAAAGGTAATAACAAGATAATCATGTTCACCTACTTTAATCCAGAATTTTGAATAACTTAAATATAAAATAATTAAGAAGTAAATGGTTCTTAAGTGTGCGTA